GAGAGTACAGAGGTCCGTTTGCTACCTTATGCAAGGAACATGGAATTCGGCAGCAATTCACACCACCAAAGACGCCGCAATTGAATGGGCTAGCTGAGAGGATGAACAAGACCCTGCTAGAGAGAGTCAGGTGCTTGTTATCACACTCGAAGCTACCACAATCTTTCTGGGGGGAGGCACTGCTTGCAGCAGTTTATGTGTGGAACAGGTCACCCAGTGTGCCACTGAAGTATGACGCCCCAGAGAAGGTGTGGACAGGAAAATAAGTTTCCTACAAACATTTGCGGGTGTTTGGTTGCAAGGCCTTTGTCCATATTCCAAAGGATGAAAGGTCAAAGTTGGATTCAAAGATGCGACCGTGCGTATTCATTGGCTATGGTCAAAATGAGTTTGGCTATAGATTCTTTGATCCAATCCAGAGAAAGCTTATCAGAAGCAGTGATGCTGTGTTCATCGAGAATGAGACCATCGAAGATGTTGTTGCTAGGAAAGAAATTCCTAGTACTGATGCTAGTCAGCCAAACCTTGAGCTAGTGCCTCCAACACCAGCGCCTACAGAAGTTGGAGAAGAAGCACAACATGATCAGCCTGAGATAGTTGAACCATATGCCCATGTGGAGGTTCAACCAGAAGATGCTGATGACGATGGTCAACCACCAGCCATAGAAGGTTCTCCTGTTCGCACAACAAGATCTGGTAGAATTTCACGACCGTCTACCAGATATCCCGAGACTGAATACGTCTCACTTACTGACGGCGGAGAACCAGAAAGCTTCACAGAAGCTATGAATGATGAACACAAGCAAAGGTGGATAGAAGCCATGCAAGACGAGATGGATTCCTTGTATGAGAACAACACATTTGAGCTGGTGAAGTTGCCAAAAGGCAAGAGAGCTTTGAAGAACAAGTGGGTGTTCAAGATCAAACATGATGAACACAACCGTCAGCCACGCTTCAAAGCCAGACTAGTTGTGAAAGGCTTCAGTCAAAGGAAAGGCATTGACTTTGATGAGATATTTTCACCTGTGGTGAAAATGACATCCATTCGTACTGTGCTGGGACTAGCAGCAAGTCTTAACCTGGAGGTTGAGCAAATGGATGTGAAGACTGCCTTCCTTCATGGTGATTTGGAGGAAGAGATTTACATGGAGCAACCAGAAGGCTTCAAGAAGAAGAACAAGGAGGGATATGTGTGTAGGCTCAGAAAGAGCTTGTATGGCTTAAAGCAGGCACCAAGGCAATGGTACAAGAAGTTTGAGTCTGTTATGGGGGAGCAAGGCTACAAGAAGACTACTTCAGACCACTGCGTGTTCGTGAAGAAATTTCCTGATCGAGATTTCATCATACTTTTGCTCTATGTGGAAGATATGCTAATTGCTGGGCAGAATGTCTCAAAGATCAATGATTTGAAGAAGGAGTTGAGCAAGTCTTTTGCCATGAAAGACTTGGGACCAGCAAAGCAGATTCTTGGCGTGAGGATCATTCGGGATCGAGGTGCCAAGAAGATATGGTTGTCACAAGAAAAGTACATTGAGAAAGTACTTCAACGTTTCAACATGGATAATGCTGAGGCGGTTAGCTTTCCTCTTGCTAACCACTTTACATTGACATCCAAACAGAGCCCGTCTACTGAGAATCAAATGGCGGAGATGGATAAAATTCCATATGCTTCAGCAGTGGGAAGTTTGATGTACGCCATGGTGTGTACAAGGCCAGATATTGCTCATGCAGTTGGAGTTGTCAGTCGGTTTCTTTCCAAACCAGGAAAGGAACATTGGGAAGCTGTGAAGTGGATCCTCAGATACCTTCGAGGTAGCTCCAAAATGAGTCTATGTTTTGGAGATGGTGAACCTATCCTTGTTGGCTATACAGATGCTGACATGGCAGGTGATGTTGATTCGAGGAGGTCCACTTCTGGGTACCTGATTACCTTATCAGGGGGGAGCAATATCGTGGCAGTCAAGGCTACAAAAGTGTGTAGCTCTTTCCACAACAGAAGCTAAGTATATAGCAGTAACGGAAGCATGCAAGGAGATGATATGGATGAAGAAGTTCATGAATGAACTTGGGTTCCTACAGGAACAACCGCAGCTGTTCTGTGACAGTCAAAGTGCTATTCATCTTGCGAAGAATGCATCATTTCATGCTCGATCAAAACATATTGATGTTCGATATCACTGGATACGAGATGTGCTTGAAATGAAGCAGTTACAACTAGAGAAGATCTATACTGACGAAAATGGATCTGACATGTGTACCAAGACTCTTCCAAGAGAAAAGTTTGAGTTCTGTTGATCAGCTGCAGGGATGATGAAGTCGCCCATGTAGTCAGGCGGGGGAGAATTGTTGCCCGGCTACATGTGGTAGAGCAAGAGCCAGCAATTTGGTAATTATAAAAAAAAATCAACAAATATTAAAGCACCAAAAAATGCAGTTGGGGAGGTAAGTTAGCATATGGGAATTCAATTCCCTTCCCCTCTTCCCTGGCTATAAAATGCAAAGGCATTTGCCTCATTTCAATCATCCCTTACCATTCCATCCTTCTCCATTTCCTTTGCTCTGCTTCTGTTCGTATTTCTTTTGTGGGTTTTGGTAGTGAAACGTTTTCACTACCACGGGTAGATAGGAGATTTCCTTGTGAGTGAAATAGTGAGGTTGTTTGGGAAACACCGTGTGTTCTATTTCTTGTATCGAGAAAATCTCTGTAACCTACCATTGTTATAGTAAAGAAATACTTCGGAGCTGTTGTTCCCGTGGACTGGCCCAAAATCAGGGTATACCACGTAAATCCTCGGTGTCATTTACTATTATCTATGCTTGTTGTTATTTTGAGAATAGTCGTAGTATATTGCATTATTAAATTACCGAAGTAAATTGATCTAAGTAAGTTGGTTACCGTAATTCTGGAGGCTCTGCCACCAGGTCCAACTTATTTGTGAACTTTTTACAAGCGTGTGATTTCTTAGTGCAATATATTTACCCGCTATTCTCACCCGCTGCGCCCAACACCTCCAATATGCCAGTACCAAGGAATCGCGCTCTTTGAAATGAAAGTCGCGCTCCCAGAAAAAATAAATCGCGAATTTTTCTCGAATTCCTAATAATCCGCGTTTTGCCAGGATCGTGGAAGCTATACCCACGAATTGGGTGACCTAAGTTCGACCGGCTATAGCATGTGCAATTCTGCAACAAAAGGAGGAAATCGAAAAGCCCGCAAGCATGACGTGCCGCTTCATGAGCATACTGGGAATGCGGTGTCCCATTTTTTAGCTCTCCACGTGGCAAACTCTATCCAGCGCCCCGCCACGTACGTGCCCCTAGAACCATGCACCCTCGAACGAAACTTGTACATAATCACAGCCGCAGCTTACCTCAGTTTCCTCGACTACGCAGTTAGACAAAAACACAGTACTAATTAAAGAAAGCCATTTTCAACGCAGTCGGAACTACATACTCCACGAAAACAATGGTGGGCGGCGGGTGGACGGCGATGATCAGCGGCCGGTTGAGAGGAATGATCACCTCATCGACAGCTCCCAATATTCGTGCCTACGCACACGGGACGGCTTGATGAGTAGATTGTCGTATTGGGCTTTAGGGGTAGAGGGTCGTATTGGGTTTCTTGTGGGTTTGGGTTTCTTGGTTGGCAAGGAGAGGGGTAGCCGAGTAGGAATATGAGTTCGGCTAGTATTAGGTTTACGTATTAGGTTTATTTCTTATATAAATATGTAAGTTCGGCATTAGTTCCGGGTATCAATCAAATAAATCAAAGGTTTATAGACACCAACGTCTTTCTCTCGCTTGTGAGTTACAAGCAAAACCTTTGAATCGTGGGTTACGGTTCATCAATTGGTATCAGAGCCTGGTTACGCATCCTACTGGGAAAGGTAACATGGTTCTTGACCTAGCCCCGTACCGCGCTCTAGCGCGGAATGCAAAGATGGCACTCCAGCAGACCAAGGTCGCTTGTGCGCAGCTAGCAAAGTCGCGTGAAAGGTTCACGACATTCTGCCGAGAACGAGAGCTGAACGCCAACCGCGTGATCATCTTCGGAGGAGAGCGAAGCAACGACAACGTGGCCCGCGTTGACGCCAATGAACCCAGGGCGGCGGAGGAGATCAAAATCTCTGTCAACAACATCGGCGGGGAGGAAACAGTGTGCAAAGGTGTATCCCAACTCGACGAGGCTATCATCCCTCAATTCCGAAGTGGCAGGGAGGAGGTCTTGGAGAAGGTAGGACTTGAGGTCGAGGATGTCCACGTGAGTAAAGCCGTACGGAAGCAGCTGCTTGTCCATCCAAATAAGAATGCTAGGTATGCTCCTTTCTTTGGCAGAGATGGCTCATGTTTTAATTGTGATGATGGGGGTTTGGTTGGCAAAAACCCTTACATAATTGAAGGAGGGCGGACTCTTTCTTGGGACCATGATGAGGGTGACAGGAGAAGGCTCTCAAGCTTTCTTTTATTCCGCCTAGGCGCTAGCTATTTCAAGGAGGCTGCCGAGTTTGAACTTCCAACAATGGAAGGCATGTCCTCGACATCAGACCATACGAGAAAGAAGTTCTGGAGCCAAGCTGTAAGCTGGAAGTTCAAGAGGCGATTTAAGTCCCGTCGCCGCAAGAAGTGCAGCCGCCATCGTTGTCGTCGTCGTCCTCCGCGGTTGAGTCAAACTCGGAACCTTGGGGACCAAGGTTCTTTTGAGGGGGAAGGATTGATGAGTAGATTGTCGTATTGGGCTTTAGGGGTAGAGGGTCGTATTGGGTTTCTTGTGGGTTTGGGTTTCTTGGTTGGCAAGGAGAGGGGTAGCCGAGTAGGAATATGAGTTCGGCTAGTATTAGGTTTACGTATTAGGTTTATTTCTTATATAAATATGTAAGTTCGGCATTAGTTCCGGGAATCAATCAAATAAATCAAAGGTTTATAGACACCAACGTCTTTCTCTCGCTTGTGAGTTACAAGCAAAACCTTTGAATCGTGGGTTACGGTTCATCACGGCTCCGATGATGAAGCCTGCTGGCCAGCACCACGAGGCGGCGGCGATGAAGAAGCAGCCGCGGGGGGAGTTCATGCCGGTGTACGTGGCGCTGGGGATGATCACGGTGGCGGTGACGCTGGGGCTGTACACGGCGAAGGAGCAGATAATGCACGCGCCGAACGTGCGGGTGAGGAAGCGGGAGCGGGAGAGGGTGAGCGAGGTGGTCGAACCGGACCGGGTGGCGGTGGAAGGGGACAAGTTCGTGAAGGGCTCGTTCTTCAGGAAGGTGGCTCACGTCCAGGAGTTCGATCCTAGTGGGATTGCCAAGTGAGTGAGACCCTTGAATCTGTTAACGGTTCGACCGGAAAAAGAGGTCTGATGTGCACAGGTTTTTACTTTTTACTTTTGTTCTCGTTTCAGTTTTTCTGTCCGGTTGGGCCCGTTTCGGTTTTTCTGTCGTTTTGGCTGGTTTGTATTCCGAACGCCCAATAATCAGCAAATTGTGATATCAATTTTGCTACTTACAAGTACAACCATAAAAGCATGGAACTATTGGCGAGTTGGTTTGTTATAGACCAATTTAGACCGGTTGGTAGGGCTGGCTATTCCGGGGTTTTTGGTTTTACTCGAAATCGTACCGTATAATTCGAACCGAGACCGGACCTGGACCGGATAGTAAACGATCCAATATCTTTGGGGGTAAATTTGAGGTATAAATCGTTTGGGACAGGATCGAAAAATTGAATAAAGACCGGATAAGAGAGCTCAACACCCAAAACTTAAGGGTAATTTGCATAAATTGTCGCAAAGTTTTGCACCTAATATAAAACTTAACCAACTCCTCACACTTTCGGACCTTAGGTCACTCTAATTCTCACAAGCTCAATATAAATTCAAGAGCGAATTGAGACCAGACAGGGTCAAGACTGGACTGTATCCAATCCAATTTTTGGTCCTTATATTTTCGTAAAGATCGGATAGGGACAGGATCAATTTGGGCCACTTTAACCGGATCGGACCGTAAAGCTACCCCTACTGGTTGGGAGAGGTTTATGTATAGTACTTAACCATCTTCTAAGAAGCTTCCTCAATCGAAAGCTAATGTGCTTTAAGTTTGTATTGGTCATTCATATTGTGTCTTTTAAAGACCCCGATTTATATTGAGAGGTTGTAATGACCCGAACAAGTGATTTTAAGAACAAACTAGCTCTTATATCGTGTCTTTCATATCGTGTCTTTTAAAGATCCCGATTTATATTGAGAAGTTGTAATGACTCGAACACGTGATTTTAAGAACAAACTAGCTCTTATACCATATCATAAATTAATTGGTCCAAATAATATAGCTCGGGTATTGGTACTTCTCAATTCTCATCGTGACAATTTGGTGAGCTTATAACCAAGGCCCACGCCAATGAACGTTCGATCAACATCGAAGGTTCAAGTTTGTGGCATGCCTTCATCATGCGTATATACGGGGTTGAAAGGGAGACCCACAATGTTGTAACTATATACAATCTTACCATGCATGTCGAAGGTTCAAATTTAATATTGATTGTGTATTCGACAAATCATAATAATGTTTCCTTTTCCAAGTTAGCATGTAGAAATCATACCATAAAAATAGAAAAATGCAACAGATGACATTAGCAACAAATCTATGTTATATAACATTATATATAACAACCAATATAAAACTTATAGAAGATATAATTTATAGTCTTGAAATAGATAGGAGCTACTTGATGGGGCTGTCAGATGTTACAGCATCAAAGCATTCATGCTTGTGGGTGTCTTATTGTCGGCCTGTGGACAAACTACATCGACCAATGCTCGCTGTCGGGGCAGCTCTGTACACCGTCGTTGCGGAAGAGCTACTTTTTTAGTGATAGGTTTGTCCCTGTTGTCTATGGACAGTAGAGATAGTCCATCAGCACAGTCTCATCTCGAATGAGACCGTCTATCCCTACTATATAGTTGGTGGGATAGGGGTGGAGGCAGGATTTGGGCTCGACCTAGGAGTGATTCCATTGCTATAAACATGAGAACTTTTTATGCTTCTGACTCGAGCCATGAGAGTGACTCTAGTCGTGATGGTAGGGCTAGGGACCGAGTGTGCGAGTGGCTCGTATCGAAGGAACCAAAAATGGAGATTTCTCTAGTGGTATGATGCTTATATCCACTGGGTTGATGCTCATGGGGACCAGGCTCTGTTGTAGATTCATGAAGAACACTGCACGACGAGTTTTGACGCATGCAGTAGTCGAGCAGTCGTAGGCGCCAGCCATAGCCAGATGGTTAGCTAGCTTTCTTCCTTAAAACCTTGGCATATGCTTAGTAAATAAGATATTGTCCGTTAAGTTTATCACTTACGTGAACTGTCACGTAATGAGTCATTAATAAGTCAGGTTGGTTGTAGTAGTTAGTAACCGTTGAGTTGGCTTGTGTCATAGTTGTTATACCAAATTTATTAACTCGTTCTGCTGGCCAGCCTTACATCTACCATCAATGCCAACTATTTTATGTTTTTTTTTCGTGTTGTGGGCAACACAAATGTCTAAAATATCCCTAATAATTTTACTTTAGAATTTTTCTTCTTCTTTTGTATAGCCAAATAATTCAAATAATATCACTTTGAAGAGATCCAGAGAAATAAAACGGGAGACAAAACAGGCATTTTCGCTCCCATTTTCCAATGTCGGGTCGTCTAAATCTCGGTTCAACCATGATTGACGATTTTTTCAATGGAAATTTTAACAGAAAGGCATGTTTGTTATTTTTTTCAAAATACAGGGGCATGTTTGATGTAAAAAATATTAGAGGGACATATTTGATAAAACATCATAGTAGAGGGACATATTATACCTATAACCTTTTTTTAGATAATTTTTTCATAACATATTTCATAGATTCATATAACAAAATTTGAATAAATTTAATTTTGGATCAAATAATATGTCTTTTAATATAGAATTACTTTCTTGATTCGCTTTCATATTGTTTGTATTTATATAAACTAAGCATACTCTAATCTATGGGTTACTACTAGGGGACTAGGGGTGGGCAGGGTTGGGTGGATTTTGGTCTCAAATTGACCCACCCACTTACTAGCGGGTTGAAATAATTGTGACCCGCAATCCACCCATATACTTCCGCGGGTTGGGTTGGGTGGGTGGCGGATGGGTGCGGTTGGATAGCGGGTCAATCCGCAAAATCAATTCTCCAACTAGCCATTAAGAAAGTTGACTAACATTTATAATAAGTTCATAGAAAAATTAGTAAGACTGTATCAATAATTTGTGATTTTGATACAATTAATAATTTATAGTTTGCATCCCAATATTTAATGATTATTAACAATAATCTGCATATCAATATCCAATATCTAATGGATATTGCACAACACAATGACCAATAAAAGTAGTCAAAACTATTATTTATTCTTCACCTTTTGAAGTATATGGTCAGACTGTAGTGCAGTTCGAAAATATGATGAATATTCGATACTATAAGAACACCATTTTTCATGTAAAAATAGGATGCGGGTCATATGGGTGACACGCAATCCACCCACCATTCACCCACATAAGTGCGGATGGGAGATTTATCAATCCGCAATCCACCCACATCAATCGCCCACTGCGTGCAGGTCGGATTATTTTACGGGTGGATCGTTATCAATCCACGGATTAACCACCCACGTGCCCACCCCTAGTTACTACAACACTAATTGTATTAATGTGGGTAATTAAATTATTGGGGTTGGGGGATTAATTGTTTGGGGACACAAATGGACCAGCCACTGAGATTGGCGGTGGTTGACACCCGCCTCAGTGCTTCCCTTCCATTCAGCGCGCGTGTGCCTCTTTCTCCTGGTGGGTAGCGTCCATTTCGCGAAATTGTGGGGCCAGCAATTCTGGCTCCTTTTAGCGTCTTGCGTGCTATTTTTAACACTACAAGCCCATATTTTTTGCACTTTAGCATTTTCCAACTCGCTTTTGGGACTTTGTTGGAGATGGCCTTACTTATGTTCACTGTTAAGTACCTAGCTCTATGCTACCAACCACATGAAAATCGCCGACCAAATCGTGACCGCGACTGATGCCAAAGCATAACTTGCGAGCAGAATCACAGAACACTCGCTCTCTCCGGTCCCAAACAGCTGGCTCATCGTACCTGCCAAAGGATCAATCAGTCGAATTTCTCCGGCGAAAAACAAACATCTGTGATGCCTTGTGCAACAAGAAACAAACCTATGTTCATTGCCGGAGGAAGTGCAAACTGAAGTAGAAGAACAAATTGATACAGTGGATCGCGCTGCACGAATCCGAAGTGGACTGCAGACTTGACGATGACAACTCCTGTCAGTGGTAAGGCGACGTAACGAACCATGATTATCCCGGCAACAACTGGTAACCGCACTTCGGAGCCCTTCAAACCTGGAGACAGATGATCATGCGTTCCCATTTAGTAGTGTGTTTTCTCCCCTGAGCCTCAAAGGACAGCTAGTAAAAAGTGACAGAGAAGAAAAATTACCTTTTAGGAGATTTGCTCCCAGTACCAATGTGACTGCAGGAATAGCCGCGTCCCTGTGAATCACAGCTTTTATTAGACAGCTGAAATGAAAATCTGAGTAACTTGCTCAAGAAAAGATTGTAATGAACTGATGTACTGACCCTAGCAGAGATGCCGAGTCTTGGAACACTCGAAGGGGAGCCTTATCGCCAACTAGTAATCCTTGCAAGTGAGGGATCATTCCCACTGCAAACCCAACAATCTATATATAAAGCATCAGGCATTTCAGCGTAGAAAAACTTCTTCAGAACCTAAAGACTCTGCTTGTTATGTCATAAAGTTTACACATTATCTTGGTACAGATACAGAACCAACTTTTGGTGGAAAAATATTTAATTTGCAGTTAATGACAGAGTAAAGATAGAAAGCTGAAAGTAAGAAGTGGTGGAGAGATTCATATATCAGCGTACCGCTCCAATCGTTGAAGGAGCAAACAGTCTCCTCAGGTTGAACATTGTACCAAAAATCTGTATTCCCTGCTTTAGCTTCTCTAAGAAGGGTACCTGTCAAGAGGCTCAATAAGGAACATATGAAAGAAAAGAAACAGTCCCCAACACCAATGGTTAGCACTAAAAACACCGAGCAGAAGTACCAGAGATTCCTGCTGTTAGTTAAAACATGAGATTAGTTTCACAACACTAACTGAAGTTCATTAACCTCAAAGTTATGTTCTATCTACTCTTCAATTGTTCGATTGGTTAAAAAACGACTGATGAAAGTATGCTTACTGCATCTTTAATGGAAGTTTATTTGCTGGAATACTGTTATTTCGTTAGCAGTAAATGTGGGTCCGATGGACTTGTTTCAACTATGGGTATAAGATCGAACACAATATAATTAAGATGCAGGAGAAAATGTCAGAGAACCTTATCCTTATGTTCTGATGTCATGGGGACAAGTTCGAATTCGGTATGGCCCTCACTTGCAGCGGATTTTGCCAGGGGAAGCAGAGGTCCAGAGTGACCTTTTGAAAGTCCTTCAAGAGTGTCTGTGGCAAAGCTCGTGGCTATTGCTAAGGCTTCAAATTTCGGTCCATCGGAACTTCTACTAGAATAGAGACGCATGATGTTGTAAACGTAAGACCACATGTAGACTGCTCCAATCTGCGAAACCAAGAGCAATAAACAGTTACATCTACCTTAAACTAGTTGGTTCAATCAGGAAAGCTGCAGTGGAGAAGAAAAAGTAAATTTCATACTGCCATAGATAGTGACCCATAAGCCAATCCATTTTCATAACAAGCATCAACATCTCCAAATGGAGAGCCTCTCTCTTTACAAACAGCTGGAATGATTATGAGAGGCATGTTCCCCAGATTTCCTAACAATTCCAACGAGTAGTCAGGATATAGGCATTTGAGTAACAATGATTCATCATGGAGTACTAATAAACTAGCAAAGGGCTTCATTATACGAAAACTGTTAAAACCCCACCTGCAGCACAGCATCCCAGTACTAGACCTCGAAGAGCATGAGGAGCGTCAGTTATTCTAATGAGCACCCACCCAAGAAGCGATCCAACGATGAACGTAAAGAGAATGTTCAGTGGCATGAACCACCTGCATATATATAAGCATAAGCATTCATCAAAAGTAAACAAAAGCAACTTGAGGGAACATTGAAGACCATAACCAAGTCACAAGCAGTCGCAGTAACAAACAAGAACTCACAACATGACTACATTCTTTAGCGTTATGTACTTCGCCAGATTGCTAGCGATAAGAGCTGGACTGAAGACGAAAAAGACCACCTGCATGTGTTGTGTGGACATCAAAACCAGAGTTCGTAAGTTCACTACTTCACGAATTCCATAACTTTTTTTCGGTTAAAACCAGCAACAAGATTTCTGCTCAATTTACATTGTTCAAGTGCTTGCGAGCATCCATTCCCAGAATGTCAACAGAATCAACCGCGAGAAACAAGCCAAGAGCAGTAATGATGAGAATCTTCAAAACCGGCATAACAGAAGCCACCAGCAAATTCAGGAGCTTCCCCATTGCGGCGATCCTCCGCCCAAATCCCAAACCCTAGCATTTTTGCAGTTCCATAAACCGCCATATAATCAGATTTCACATATCAAACACGAAAGAGAAACTCATCACTCCCAGTTTCCCACTCTCCCAACTCCCGCCAATCACCACGCAATTTCTAATTCCGAAACTAACTACAATGAGATTCACCAACACATTTCAGCTTCAATCATCGAAATCGCAGAATTCAACGATAATCAAGATCGAAATGCTTGCACGCAGAGAGAAAACTAAAGCAGAAATTTCACACACATTAACCGCCGCCGAAATCGTACCGATTGAGCAAATGATTGCGATTGCGATGGCCTTCGTTCCTGCTTTCCTACCCTTCCTCCGTCAACGAAATCGGGACCAAGAAGTGAAGAACAGAACGACGGGGAATCCCGGCGCATAAAAATGAAAATTCGAAGGAACGACCCGCAATTGGCGCCGATTCAGTTAGTTTCTGTGCGAATGTGAAATGGTGATTGAAGAGTGGTTGTTTGATTAGGGATTGGAATTCCGGCGGCTCTCGGTTTCAGTCGCCGGGATTGGAATCGGCGATGCGGCGGTAGAATTTGACAGTAGGCGGAGCCAAACAGTCTCTACTGATTCGATTTCCTATGGGGGGGAGAGGGAAGAAGTTCTCGAGGCGCGCCACGTAACTTTTGTATTTCGGATTTTCGCTCGCTCTCTCTGTCTCTCTCTCTATCAGGTTCTAACGGCCAACTAACTAACTAGACTAAAATAAGATGATCAATTACGAAATAGTCATCAATCTTTTTATGACTGACATATCAGTCAGAAAACCTTGATGCGGGACGATTTTACTAGGGGTGTTCAAACAATTTGGTTACCATGATAACCGTTTTAACCGGTACTGTTTGGATAATTTGGTTTGGTTAATATGGATAATTGGTTTGGTTTGGTTAAAGTTTTTAGCTTGTTTGGTTTAGGTGGTTTGGTTTGGTTTCAGATGCTCATATATCTAACATATATTATATACACATACTTAATACTTTGCATAACCACTCAAGAGTTAACGTTCATCCCTTTTAGACTCATAAAATATAAAGCTCAATATTGCTCATATAGTGTATATTTGTATATGTAAAATGTAGACCACAACATATGAACGCCTAATTTAGATAAATTTCATACATTATGTTGGATGAAAACTTGAAAGGAAGGTCATTTCCAGCCTATGATAATTGCTAAGAGACTAAGTCAATTTACACAAACACAACAATTCATTAACCCATACCATTGTCATAAATTTTTGTTAGGTGAATACTTCTATACTAATCGTAAGATAATTGTCTTAGTTGCATGTATTTTTGTTAAGGGTCAACTATAACTACGTGTTGGTTGTTATGTTTTATTCATTATATAAATTGCGAATTGTTGCATGAACCGGAAAATTTTCATCGTCAATGATAATGTGATTTTATATTGGTTAATCTGGTTAACCAATTAACCAAACCGATTAAACTTTAGTTTGGTTAATTTGGTTGTTGTATTAGTTTGGACGGATTGGTTATGATATTGTATTCCATGGTTAATGGAGTTTAACCTTATTTGGTTTGATTATAACCATGGTAACCATTTGAACACCCCTAGATTTTACTACTGAAACTAACAAAATACTGAAATAGTCATATAATTAAAGGTTTTACCATAACTAACAAAATTAGTATAGGAGGAGGTATGCAGGTTGAATTTGGATTGAATAGTGGGCTTGATTCATATTGGGAAATGAGTTACCATGGATTGTCTGTCTGTATCAGATAATTTCAATTAATTCTACCATTTTTACTAGTGTTCTTAGCGAATTAGCGTACGCTAATTTCAACTATTTTTATAAAGAGTACAACGAAAAGTTATTTATTTAGTTATACTAGTGTTTTTTTTTACAATGTTATGCTAGTGTTTGACGTCGTCTCCCAACGTTTTTTTCTATTTCTTTTATGAAAACTCGTTGACAAACGTTTTTGCACAAATGATTACTACATTAGTCAATTTGTTTATCACAACGATCCTAATCGATATCACAACCATAAAAACTAACACGATTGCACTTACATCTTCAATTTCTTTGAATCTTCGATAAATTTCGACGAGGTACGGAAATATAAAAGTGAGTTTCGAACAAAATTGGTAGTCAATCTATTCACCCTCAAAGAGTTTGGTAAAATATATTTTTATTTGGAAACACTTTGAATTAGCATTCATTACAATAGAATCCATTTCATTAATTACTTTAGTAACCGAAATCCCCTTTTCCCAAGTATATTCCCCGTGACGAAGTCTTTTTCTCTGTCACTTCTCGTCTCGAATTCGGGCTCACTCTCGCTCAGTTGAAGAACACCATCAAATTTGGTTTCCTGCTCAGTGCCGCCAGAGCGAGAGCGTGCGTTTCCGTCATAATCTGCCAAGCAACTGCAACAACCTAAGCTCGATTCAGTTCAGCCTGTGTGTTGATGGTGGAGTTTTAGTGTTCTCAGCATTTGCATGACGGTTTCTGAATTCTGAATTCCGCCCTGATTCGTCAGAGTTCGTCTTTTCTTTTCTACTTCGGTTCATCGTCTCTGTGAATTCTGAATTCCGCCTTCTCGTTTTGTAGGAAATGTTCTGATCAATTTTTTCTTTTGCGCTCTTTTGAAATGGCAGTTGGAATCTCGTGGAAGCTAATCCTTTGCGTCAGGGGGGAGAAATTCGTTTTCAGCTTTGCTAGGGTTTTAGATTTCCGTTTCTGGTTTTTGAATTGCTGTTTGGAAGTTGAGGGAATTTCGAAAGATGAGGAGAAAGCTGGTGTTTAATGGATGGGGTTCGAAGGACCTGCTCGAGTTCCTTGCTTCGATAGGGAAGGAGACGGCCGAGCAATTGTCTCAACAAGAAGTTATTGGGATCATCTCAAAGTACTGTGCTGATTACAACCTGTTTGATCCGGAGAAGAGGAATAGGATTCTCTGCGACGCAAAACTTCGGGCACTGTTCAGGCGAAAGTGGATCAATAAGAACGGCATCCGCACTCACGTGGAGAAGCATTTCGCCGAGAACCAATTGGATGATGGTGGTGATGACGATGATGATGATGATGCGATGGAGATAGGAGAACTGGTTAATCAGGGGCTGGAAGTTGGTGAAGGGAGTGGTGAGAATTTTGTGGTGTCTGGTGAGAAGAGGAAGAGGATATTAAGGCCTGAAGCTGATTGCCAGAAGAAAGGAAAGGGGGTTGTGGTTGTGCACAAAGGGCTGTTTGCATCGGTTACTGCTGAGAATATCAAACGTGTTTACCTAAGGAAGAGTGTTCTGTATGCGTTGATGAAGGAGCCGGAGAGTTTCGATGTTAAAGTTGTTGGATGCTTTGTGAGGGTCAAGACCGATCCTTCGGACTACAGTAGGACAACCTCTCATTTGCTTGCTCTGGTGACAGGTAGTTTTCTGATTTTCTTAGCTGTGATAAGTATTTAGAGAGGATGCATGAATGACGAAGGATGGAATGGAGCGAGAGCGAGAGCGAGAATTTCTAGCTTAGATTGTTTTTTTCTACCATGTTGCATGATGAGCTCATCTTGTATTGCATTACAGGGGTAAAGAGATCTCCAGAAAATGCTGAAATGAGGGATTCTGTTCTTCTGGAAGTTCCCTGTGTGCTGAAAGATGTACCCATTTCTGAGGTTTCTGATGAGAATTTCACTGAGGTAAAAAAATTCGTCTAATTCCACTGATACTGAATTAGGAACCTTGAATTAGCAATCTCAAAATACATTTATGGGAAACTTGCATAAACTTTTCTCAAGCACACTCCTCTTTCTATGATAGGCAGATTGTTTCTTTATGTGATTCTCTTGCAGGATGAATGTGAGGATCTGCGTCAACGTGTTAAGGACGGCATGCTTAAAAGGCCTCTGGTTGTAAGTTTCTGCTACTTATTACCTCTCATATGCATTTTCTACCTCCACTTCACAGCACTTCTCTCTATTTCTGGTACTTGTAATTCAGTTTTTAGAATCAATGCTCTTGGTGTTTGTTGATTCTCAGCCTTTTGTTTGATCAGTTTTATTTTTTGCACATCTGCCTTTGGTTCTTAGTTCCTATTTTCATTAGGTCCAGTTACATACTTCCTTAGAAGTTAGAAGTTTGCAGATTTTAGCCAGATTCTGTCTTTGGCTTGCACTTAATCTGGAAAAGGACACATCTATAAGTAGGAGGCTTTTTTATGGCAAGTAAATGGGGTAATGGACTCGTAACGTATGATTCGTCGTGCAATCCATGCATGCAGTAGACGTTCTTCGTTTTTCATTTGCTCCACGTAGAGGATTAGTCCAGCGATAGAGATCGATTTCTACCAAGTTTGACTTCTATTGGAGTATGCATTTAATAATGTTTTTATTATTATTGTCTTTCATCCTTCAAATACGGAGAAAACCTTTCTTGGATCATAAGTTATTAGACTTCCCCATAATGATGGTTAATGTATAGATTTCTCTGGATTGCTAGCATGAATCTAAGATGGCAATGATGCTTGATTCACAGGCAGACTTTCAGGAGAAGGCTCAGAGTCTCCACGAGGTTATAACAAGAGATGTATGTACCCTGATTCCTTTGTTCAAGAATTACATAATATGTGTATAAATAACTGGTGATTCTTCTCTTAGGGAAAGATGATCTTGTCCAATATGTTTGAGAAAGTAGAACAGGTGAATTCACTGGGAAAAAATAAATACATTAGAGACGGTAAAGCATAGCCTATTTGTGTAGCATTTGAAGTAATCTTCCTGGATCATAGTTTTAGTTAATGCCAATCTGAACTCTAGTAAATGTTCAATATGAATTCATGATAAGGCCGTCGTTTTGTGATTAACATCATCGTGTGGTTTGCTAGACTTGCCTGCTTTGTATTCATTGCTTCTGTGGCAGAGTTCTTGACATTTTTTTCTTTCTTTCATCATCTGCAATGGTCAAGTGGATCATAAGAGAGCTGGCACTAGGAAAACGCCATATCGAACTGGAAAGTCAGAAGGGATGTAGTAGTGAATATCCTTTGATTTTTCTTTTAACAATGAAGCTTTAACGGTTCATTTAACTGATTCTTCTCTTCTTTTTTCTCTTCTCCTTTCTTCTTCTTAGTTTCCTATTTCAATATTTAAAGGCGCTCATATGGTAGTTGATAGAAAGCTATGAAAATCCTTAACTACCACCCTGCCTACGCTTGCCGAGTACTTTGAAGCATGGAATGAACTCTGCACACCCAAGGAGCAATCTCGGCTGTTACAGGAAATCCCAAAGATCATTGCAGATGAAGAAGCGGGGGAATCAGCATGCAAGGAAATACCCAGGCATGGAAAACAGGCAGTGGTTCTACAACAAAAAGAATTTTTGAGAAGAGTGAAACCATCCAAATGTCTAACGAGAGCGGGAACTTGGAGTCCAGGCAATGTGATGGAAGCTACAGGTTGGTCCAGCTTCTCCTTTGATTTGCATAGTCTACTTACGTACAAGTTGCCCAAAGGAACTTGTTTGTTGGACTAACGTTAGACTTGAACAGGTTCAGGAAATCGAACATTTGTTTCTCCATGCAACACGGAGAAAAAAACCAGACAAGAGGAGATCATAAAAAAGGCAGCGAAAACTACCGAAAGGGAAACACCTGCAGCAGCACCCTTTGTCATGGAAAAGAGCAGAAAAAATCATGCACCCAACGTGGCATCAAACTCGGCTGTGAAAACCAGCAAACAGACTACTGAAAAGAGCATTCCCAGAAAGATCGAGATAATCGATCTAGGCAATGATGACGACGAAGGTGATAATACAAAGCCTGCCGCCATCAGCAATCAAGCAGCAGCAGCAGCAGCAACGGTGGCCTCAACAAAAAACCTGAACACCAAGATGTGGCACTGCATTAGTGTACGACGGGGTCTGCGCATTGGAGGGCTCTTCTCCATCTCTCTGTTGAAGAAATTGAGAGATTCCAGTCCCAGCCCTACGGGACTGTACTACAAGGTCTGGAAGGAGGGGCAGAGAGAGGAAGAAGCAATTCTTCTGGAAGAGGCGATTCGTCGGGCTTATCGTTTGAAGTGAATCACCAGTCATTTTATGAGAGTCATCTAGATACCCTAGATTTGGGATTAAGTCAATGAAGAACTACAGATCAGTCAAGTTTTTATTTAATTTGGATGATGAATTGAATAGACCTCAGTAATTTCTTAAAGTTTATTATAGTTTTGAATTTCTCATAGAAACACCTTTACAGACTTGGGAGTTTATAGCATTATACAGCGTTGAAATGAGGATCTGTTGAACTGTGCAGCATTTCCCGGGCCTGCTTTAGCTCTTGGTACAAACTCTTAAGTTGGATGGGCATCGGTCGAATGCCCAAAACCGGAGCGAATCGAGACAATAACAAAGTTGACATAAGATTATGCCTAAAACCGAATCGAATTGAGACAAAATAAAAACTGACAAAACATATTTGATCCGATCATACTGGTCCAAATATCAAAGCAGTATGGTTCAGTACAGTGTGGTCCGTACGATTCAATATGGTGTGAATCGGATCGTTGCCAACCCCTAGTTCTTACTAGGTGCGAAACTAGAGAAATGTAAAGTTAAAATTAATTGCCTGGAAATGGACGCAAATGGGCTCTAAAAATAACAAGACACCATCAAGGAGATTCACATCAAAGAGTTGAAGGACAGAAACAATTCCAGAACTCTGCTCCATTCCCCCCATTAATGCATCAAACCTTAAATATCATGAAGTGTATATTATGCTATTCTGAGCTGCCAAAAAAAGAAGAGGGGACGCAGAAGAGGCAACAACAACAACAAGAAGCCAGCTACTTTTCACTCTGACGAGAAGGTTTAATTCATAAATTATGATTGTACAAGGGCATTTGAAGCATCTACGAGCTAGCAAAACGCAGGTGATGAACCGGACCGGGTATGGGACCCGACAGGTTTTCGTTAATCATTGTTTGCCATTGAAGCCAAGTCTAAATCTTCATCAGAGTCGATCACGTCTTCAAAGTCGTAATAGGGATTCACCTGCATTGCCAAAAAAGACCTTAGGACCTAGCATGCTGAAACGATGCTAGTACTGATTCTCACTACCTAAGCAGTGATCTATTGGTTTCCATTAATGCAAACGTTCCCTGACGTTAGCTAATTTAACAAGGAAGTACCTGCGGTCTAGGAGTTACTGCGTCGAAGCTATGGAACTCTGGCTCATCGAAATTCGGTGGTCTCAGAACAATATAAGCCCCTTTGTTCTTGTATCTCTCCTCTGTAGCCTGCATGGACAGCATTAAACATTTCTCTTGCAGGTTAAGGTGTGCATTAGCTTCATCCAACAGCAGAAAACACACGGATTAAGAATTACCTGAAACTGTGGATAGTCTGGAGCACTAAACAAAGTAATAAGTTTCCCGGACTCTGTAACATGATCAATGGTATATCCCTCGTCCATGTTGCCAAGACCGGGCCTCTTTTCTCTAGCATCAGGACCTTCATGTGATCTGATGATTAGCTAAGACAAACAAAAGAAACAAAATCAGTAAGAAGAAACAACTCAGAAGATACCTAGACGAGATTAAGCTTAAGTGAAAAACTACAACAAACCTTTAACTGAAACCTCTTCAAAAAGCTTTCCGTGCAATCAGGACCCCAAAGCAAGCCGATCCCTCTCTCTTTATTCGGCGAGAGCCCCGGTTTCATCGTTGGGTCTGACCATAGCACATCACCAGGGATCAGGTTCTGACCTTCCCATGGAGGATCAAGAACCGACCTTCGAGCTTTGGCCAACTCGTCTAAAGAACCGAGAGCTAAGGTATTAGTCTCCTGCTGTAGGTTTACTTTCCGGTTCTTCTTTCGTTTTGATCTCTTGGGCAAGGTGGGAATAGCAGGGTTGCCTCTGAATAGTCCCCCGTGAGCAGTGTACACATGCCCAGCTATAATGGAAGCCAATGGAAGCCCTTCGAAGCATCCCAAACACTTCCTGTATGCATGTTTGCCTTTATCCCCATACTTAGCCAGTACTTCCTTCTCGAAACCATACACCGACGTACAGTACTTTGATTCGTGGTTCCCGCGTAAGAGAAACACCCTGTGCGGCATAAACACCTAAAGAAGAGTCACCGTATTGTTGATTACATCACCATGAAAGTACAATTAAGTGTAACTGATCTCGTCATACATGCACGTCTCATGAAATTTTTGAAAAATTCAATGAATAACTCGCAACTCAATAGACGGGAATGGAAAGCTAATAAATTGAGGACTGGACAGATAGATGGATCAAGAATAATAGTTAACTCAACCAGAATTCTAGTCCTTTCCAATAAACTGAAACAGTTAGAAAGGCCTTCCTGTTTTGCATTTCCTCTCACAAGATCTCTCTCCACCAAACTTTCATTAACGTTCAATAATTTCACCATTGACTCTTACTTGGAGCAGGCAGAAAACCACTGAATTTCTCGCAACTCAATAAACAGGAAAGGAAAGCAAACAAATTGACGACAGTCCAACCCGATGAATCAAGAAAAATAAGTCAAGTCAAGCAAATGTTTAGCTCTGTCCAACGCACCAAGACAGTTTGAACCAGTTTTCTCTGTATACATTTCCTACTACAAAGATCTCTCTATACCAAACTTCCATCAGTGTTCACAAGTCACAACTCAGTAAAAGTGATCATTGATTCTTATTTCAGGGCAGCACGAATTACTCTGAATAACACGAAATGAAAGCTACCAAATCGACGAATAGGCCAACAGATGAATCAAGAATAGCAGTTCAATCAATCCAAATTCTAGCTTTTTCCAGCACACCATAACAGTCAGAAATGAGTTCAAGTACCAATTTCTCTGCATTCCTTTTCTACTAGGAAGATCTCTATCTACCAAAACTTCCATCAAATGTTCACAACCCGGCAACATTTCCATCACTGATTCAAACTTCAGAGCAACCGAATTCAGTAAAGCAAGTACCTTCCACGCCAGCAGGACCAAGAAAGTCTCGAGCCCCCAAGCACCTCGATCAACGTAGTCCCCATTGAACACGAAGTAACGATTCTCGCTAGGGAAACCAGCTTCTCTGAACAGGAGAAGCACGTCGTGGAGCTGGCCGTGGACGTCCCCGACCACGACGACGGTGGAGTCGGGGCTCAAACCCCCGATCGAGACGCAATTCGGCTCCTTGTGGAGGAGCTTCGACGCGGCCAGCACCAGCGCGTCGAAGACCGGGACGGGGAGCACGGAATAGAACTGCGAAGGAGCCACGTTGCGCGAGGACCAATCGAAGGTCGCAATCAGACGGTGGACCCACTCCGACGACAGCTGGCCGTCCGGCGGCCAGGAGATAGGGATGTCCGGCTGAGGATCTTCTGCTCCATCGGATGGAGAGGATGATGATGATGAAGTGGTGGTGGCGGTGGTGGTGGTGGAGCAGATGGGTTCCTCGGGCGGCGAATCGCCGGCGGTGGTTGCGGTGTCGGGAGCATTATTATCGGCGGCGGCGATGGCGGAGCTAGATTCTGGATCTGGAGCGGGTGGAGGAAGGGAATTTGGCGACGACGACATAATTTTCCTGTGTATTATTTACTTTAGTTTTCCTGAATCTCTCCCGGCAAGCACGGGTTAGTTTTACAAATTATAGGGTTACACATGATTTACATGAACTAATAAAATGCACATCTTAATTATTTAATGTGTGCATTTAATTTCATGTTTAAAAGTGATAGATTTCTTTGGTAATAAGGGGAATCATAACTACTCTATTATATCATCCACTACTACCTAAACAAATATTAATAGCCCTTACTATAGTGCTTAGTTGGGTGGTTAATTTGATTTTTTTTACATCGATTTACACTCAAACAATTCGAACGATAGTGTGTGGATAGTGTGTGGATGATTGATGTAAGTAGATTTTGGATCTTGATAAATATTCTAGGTGCATTTATTCGGATGGGTGATACCCAATTCTTGCAGTTGGTTTGCCTTGGCAGGATCGCGACTAATGTTCTCCGTTTTCCCCGGAAGTCAGCAGAGTCCCCCAACTGCGTGCGGTGTAATGGTCGAGCTGAGACTATCCTTCACATCCTCAGGGACTGCCCTCCGGCGGTCTACTTTTGGACAAGGCAGGTCCCCATTGCTAAACAGCAAAGATTCTTCTCGGCAGACACGGCAGATTGGCTTCGGATGAATTTGGCAGCGGGGGATCACGAGCATCTAGGGGCCGATTGGGCAACTTTGTTCAGTATCGCCGCTTGGCTCTTGTGGAAAAACAGAAACGACATGTGTTTCAAAGGTGTGTCCTCCACCCTTACCCCTCCCTCTTTGGCCCACTCGATTCTTGCCAAGACCAAACTCTGGAGCGAAGCTTGGAGCGCTCCGTCCCTTTTGCCGAGCCGGAGGGCGACTCCTGCCAACAGGGTTATGGCGGACATTGCTTGGAGCTCACCTGCGGAGGGGTGGGTGAAGCTTAACATTGACGGAGCCTCCAATGGGAATCCCGGGATGGCTGGGGCCGGAGGTGTTTTGAGAGATAGTGTGGGGCATTGGATTGTTGGCTTTGTGGCTAAGATCGGCGAGGCTACTGCAGTTCTGGCAGAGCTTTGGGCTTTTTATCATGGCTTGGATATCGCTTGGAGTCTGGGTTCCGTCAGATTGTGATCGAGTCTGACTCTCAGCTTGCCATCCAGTTACTCAACGACAGGCATGATCCAGTTCATCCTTATGCCACCCTCTTAGCTGCTGTTCGCAGGAGAATTAGTCGTGACTGGCTGGTGCGCATTGTTCACGTGTACCGGAAAGGGAATAGAGTCGCGGACTAGCTCTCGAAGCACAGTCTCGTCTATCCCTACGGTATGCATGAACTTGCACATTCGCCGTCAGGAGTTATGGCCATCCTTCAGGACGACGTGCAGGGAGTCTCTTTCGAGCGGCGGATTGTTTCTCGCCCGGTTATTTCTTCACCGGATAGTTCTCCCCCTCCTCACCCCCTTATGTAACCCTTCTTCTCTTGGCTTGCGCCTCCTTTAATGCAAAAAAAAATATCAAGAACCAACTAAAACAATTCAACATCATAATGATGCAAGCTTAGTCAATATAAGAAGGGTGGGGAATTGGGAATTTAATTTTTAGGGTGTGGATGAAAAATTATGGAAATTAGAATTTAATTGGGCTTTGTTTATTATAATTATATTTATGTTTTAAACATAACAACAATTGGCTTGTCGTGTAACAGATAACATATTCTCTAATAATTATAGTGTTATGAGTTTGAATCACAAAAGCTATCACATTTTTTGTCTTCTTCTTCCAAATTCAAATTACTACTAGTACTATAGAAGACCTCCAAAACCCTCCAAACCTTTCTTTGAATCACCTTATATGTTATGGTTTTTCCTACAATTTCATACACTATTAATTTCCACCTTTGAGCCCAATATCGTCCATTACCATATTCACTTACATAGTATCTTTTGTCCTTTGACTTTAGAATGCTTGAGAGAGGAAGAAATGTTGGTAAACTTCTACTTGTGTCAAGATGTATTTGCAAATTCATGTGGTTTGTTAGTTACACATGATGTTGTTATACCGACAACTGATAAACACAAAAAACTATGTCATGCCTTGTAGTGATAAGATATTGCGGTCGTCTGAAAATTTTTGGTAAACTTCTCCTTCTTCCTTGCATAGCACGACTCCATTTTCACTTGATATTACTGTCTGCATGCTTAGAGGAGTTTTGGTTGGCTTGTTGTCAAGAAAGTGTGCATTAGCCAACATTTCCTATAAAACTTCGTCTAATTAAGAAAGATTTCATCTTGATCTTTGTGCATACCTAAACTCAAGAAATACTTCTGTCCTCGTAAGTCTTTTATTTCGAAATCTCCTTGAAGCCAGCCTTTAACCGAGCTAATCAAATCCAGACTATAACTATCCAATATCATATCATCAACATAAATCACATGAAAAAGAACACTTCCTTCTAATTAAATATGAACACAGAATAATAAGCATAAGATTTAGTTAAACTAAGTGACAAAATCACTTTTGTCTAAGAAACCATTTTCTATCGACTTATTTTAAGCCATAAAGTGACTTCTCCAGCTTGCAAACATTCTCCCTTTGTATTTGGTCATTTTTTATAAGAAGTATTTTGGTCTTTGATCAAGTCCCAAAGGGTAAAACCAAAGATACCTAATAGCTCTTATCCATAAATCCACTGAAAAAACATTGTTTACAACCGATGCCATTTTTTGCTGCAGCAATTCCCAACAATAGCTTCACTAAATTCTGCTTTGCTGAAGGTGAAAAGATACCCCAAAAATTAACCACATGAACCTAAGTATACTCTTTTGATACCAGTCTGGCGCTGTGTGCCTTTCCACACTCACATCTGCAATGTACTGAGCCTTAGAAGTGAGGCAGTTTTTATTATTAGTATTACCTTTATTATGAGAGTCTTATCATTGTATTCAAACTCTTCGTGGTTCATGAAAGATATAGACAGTTTTCATCGAACCCTGATGTATTAAAATGGTATTAGACTACAAGGACTACTATGTCATTTAACGAGTTTTTATCTAAGTTTGAATTTTCATGCCGAAGTTCTAAATTTTGTAAGAGTATGAGTATTCTCGTGTGAAGTTTGTTAGAAGTTAAGTTATTTCATTTATAATATTAGGCTTATTATGAGAATTTCTCTTTGTATTCTAGATAAACCCTTAGTGGCTTCAAAGTCCGTACTAATATAATTATACACAATTAAGTTTTCATCGAATCCTAATTTATAAACAAATATTGCTTCAATATTTGGCAAAAGAAAAGTATATAAAATCAACAGATAAAACACCAAAAAACACAATCAAAATAAAAACCATGTCAATAAGGAATTCATGTTGAACAAAGTTGGCCGAGATTAGGTTATGACAGTTAAGTTTTTTTTTTTTTTACTGTCTATGGAAAGAACGAGTCCTATGGAAAGGGAACCCTAACAAAGGTTATAATCCTCCAATGTCTGCCACACTCTCTCTATTTTTACCACAAATCTTCTCTAGTTATCTCAAGCCATTAACTTTTCTCTTAACAAATTTCAAACTAACAAAAAAAAAAAAGTAAAAACACCAAAAAAAGAACACCTAATCTCTCAACCCTTCAGAAAGAAAAGCTTCTTGTATCTAAGGGTGAGAGATAATGGAAGATGAGAGCCATGGAAATTGCAGAAGCAATTATCCGACCACGACGACGACTAGAGAAAATTCAGAAGGTGGTAATAACAACAACTGTTCGTCACTAAAGATATTCAATAGCGACCACAACATCAATAGTGTCGGTTCTAACACTACACCTGTCACCAATAATGTTACTACCACGACGACGACAAACACAACTCATCATCATACAACTCTCAACAAGGAGCAAGATCGTTTCCTACCCATTGCCAACGTGGGCAGGATCATGAAGAAAGTGATACCGCAGAACGGGAAGATCTCGAAAGAAGCCAAGGAAACCGTTCAGGAATGCGTATCGGAGTTCATCAGCTTCGTGACCGGAGAAGCCTCCGATAAGTGTCAGCGAGAGAAGAGGAAGACGATCAACGGGGACGATATCATATGGGCTATAACGACGCTAGGGTTTGAAGATTACGTTGCGCCACTCAAAACGTACCTCGGCAAGTACAGAGAGATTGAAGGCGAGAAACTCAACTTGCCGAAACAACAACGAGTCGAGCCCAGGTTACCGCAACAACAACAACAACAACATCTACAACATCAACAACAACAACCGCATCACAATCATCAGCATCAAGTTCTTCACCATCAAGATGGTGAAGTAGTGCAACAAAATATTCATCAGTACAATCTTAATAACAACAATGTATATTCTTCCATGAATCTTCTATCGCAACCAACTTCTTTTGTCGCCACAGATCAAACATATTCATTAACTTTCTCCCCTCCTACTTCACTTCCCAAACAATTACAGCAACAGGATGAACTTGATTCAGTCAGGCAGTGGTAAGAAGAAGAAAAAGTACATAGGGAAAATAATGGGGGAAATGAGTTTTTATTCTTTTATTTTTAATTCTCAATGTTAATTGTCTATTTGGAGATGATATGATTACATAATTAAAACAGTATATAAATCAAGAACACAAATCATTTGATGTTTACATAATCAGTTCTATCACGTAGGAAAGTCATTCCATATTAATTACCGCAACAAACAAAACATTCATTACACATTCATTCATTTTGTTGTCACATATTTGAAAAATGAGTGCATTTGAATAATTTGAATTGATCATACATGTATGATAATCGATCTAATACATTATTTTCTTATATATTATACAAGTTCAAAACATCCGTGCACTTTATAGAAGTTTGCATAGACTCATCATACTACGTATAATGTATAGTGGTTTCGTTAGGGATTTAAACAAGAGATCTCTTGACCCTTGATAATATATACTTGGTCTGCAATTCAGCAATGATAATACAAATGATCAAAAACAAAAGATGTAAGAAAGATGCTAAAGAGCAGAACCTATCTAACTTTTCACAAGGGAATCCAAAGCTAGATGGTAACAAAGTTGCCAACTTTCTTTCGTTTCTATTGGCTGAATCACATTGGTACTCATAATTTTCATCCATCAGCGTAAAAACCAACGTTCAGAAGGAATCAAAAAACGAACAATCGCAGCTTGTATAAGTATATGCACATTGTTTTACCTCAAAGAAGCAAGAAGAGCAAAACCAAAGCAGGGAAAAACTCACAGAAGCCGGGTGAGATCCAAAATGACGAACCAAGTTCGCAGCTTTCTCCTTCTCCTCTGCCTGTTGCTTGGCGTCCAATTCATACCTCATCCTTGCGTCGATGGCCTCAGCAGCCACAATCTTTGCGTGCAATGTGCCACTGTGAAGGGGCACAAGTGCCCTTCGAGCTCAGACTTCCCTCACATGACAGCTTACGACAACAGGCTTATCGCTGGAGCGCTCCAATCTGATCTCGTCGATGTTAATGACAGAGGGGTTTACTCTGTCCCCAATGTCGAAGGTGGGAAGTCGAGGCAATACAATGCTTACTTTGGCTGGGAGTCCACTTCTGGTTCTGCTTCTGGCTATCACAGGTACTACTAAGACATTGTAGCCAAAAATTTACAGCAATGTTGGGACAATCCAAGCTCCCAAGTTTTGAATTCTATGTAGGTATGCGGATCATGTAAAAAAAGAAGGTAAATGCCAAGTCACTGAATAAGTGATTTGCTTCACAGTTTATTATAAAAAGTGATGTCTAACGAACTGCATAATTTACCCCAATGTAAAAACATATGCTGATGCTATTGGCTACTGCAATTCTTTTTTTACAGGTTCAGCAACTATATGGACAAATGCTCTGGTGGAAAGAGTTATCTAACAGTTGATAAGGTTGGCAAGGTGGCTCTTCGATCGTTGAAGTCACTGGAAACCTTAGCAGAAGCTGACTGGAAATCTATCAATCCGCCAGCGAAAGTAAATCACAGAGGATACAGATTCTGGTTATCTCATAGCAGTGGGAAATGCCTTACAGTTCTGGGAGGACGTGGAGAGAAAAGGACCGTTGGTGTAGCTGACTGCAAGTTTGATGGCTCAAACAAGAAGCAGCTATTTGCCTTCAGATTCCATTACCATAAGGCCTTCTGTGGTTGTGGTGTCTTCAATAATTGACTTCCTTCAACTGTATAACTTGCACAATAAGTTACATACATATGGATCACATCTCATTGTTTTTCTATGGAAATTTTCATGATTGCCCTACTGTTTTATCAAAGGGGCAAAGGAACATGCAAATGCTCATATGCAGTTGAATTCCTAACACCTAACTAAAAATCATCATAAAATGCTAACTAAAGTGGTTCGTTGACAAAATAACCACCCTGTCTCATTTCGTCTAACCCATTGTTAATTTAGGTAGTCAGTATGCAAAATAGGCTCGGTGCATTTTTTGCACCCCATGCCCCTACAGGATTTCACCCTTTCCAATTCAAGAGTGACTTGGATCTCGGGTTCGGTGCATTTTCTTACAGGTTGGGAGTCGGTTTTGTGAGTTGGACCTGAGGTGGAAAAGGGTTGGGTTGAGTGGGTGAAGGGGTTCTAATAGATGGATTTCTTCCAGACACAAGCGAGCCTGTTAGGCAAGTAGACTCAATCGAACTAACGCCAGATAGACAAACTGACTCTTTTTTTTATCCAGATCACTTATTGAAGGTAGCATTTTCACACAATCCCATAGGTTGGTAAGAATTCGAACATTTAACTATAGTCTATCCTTCAAGAATGCACTTCAAAACATAACTAAGACATGATACAGAAGGTGAGTATTCATTCATTACCCTTTTGCTTTATCACTTCCATGGTCAACAAATCATTGCATAAACCTGAGCTATGTATGAAAGATACCAAATCCTAAGGAAACCCCCATGAAACTTACTCTAGCACTTTTGACCATGCTTAGCTAAATCTTCTGCACAAGTTCTCAAGGGAATCTAGATGTTCAAACAAATTCAAAATCTACTAATCTAGTAGCATCCAAACGACTTTATAAGCAACACTATGTATGATAAGCATGTCATTAGAGATCAGGAAGTTGACTAATCTTGGCAACATGCTGCAATAATCGATATTGCTCTACTGATTGTTACTGACTTTTACAGCTGGGATCATTTCCTGTCCATCACCAATCTTATCTAAGCAAGGTGGCTTGGCTGCTCCATAATTGAAGTAGGCCATTATCTTCGAGAACACATCAGCTGTTCGTATTGCTGAATTCAAAGAGAAAAGTCATGAACTTATGTTGTACTAGAGGAAACAAACTGTGATCTCATGAGACAAATGAATCACCTTTCTCACGGTATAAGACCTTTCCTGCTTTCGTGAACATAACTTCTGGGAATTCAGACACTTTCAGAGCGGAAACTAAATCATTCTCGACAACAGCATCAACTGCAGTCCAATATTACAAGCTTAACATTCAGAGACAATGCTTCGCACAAAAAGTACATGGATGAAGAAACCAGTTAAGTCAACTTACTCTTTGGGAGGGCAACCCGCATTTCCCGAATTCTCTCATTCTCTTTTGGCCCGTGCAAGAAGTTTGCATTTAGGACAAGAAGTCAACTACAGGATTAAATGCCTAAATGGTCACTGAACTCTGGGGTTTATAACAGAATGTTAAGTGAACTAAAGGATTTATTACAAAACGGTTATTCTGTCTAATGTGGCTTTAGGATTTGAGTCAACATGTCAGATAGGCTCACAATGTCATCAATGTCATCAAACCTACCAGCACCTCGTGCATTAACTCAACCTAAACCTTTCCAACATAGTCCCAACTAACAGAACCACTCTCAACTCATAATCAAACACAAACTCGAAATCCAGCTAATTCTCAAAAAGGAAAGAGTTGGAGCTAGGGGGTGAATAGAGTGCTAATTGGACGATTTCATGATACAACACAACTAAATACAGTTTTGAAGAAATAAGACAAAGTGAAACACTTAGTTTAGCTAGCATTTTTTATTATTATTAATTTAGCCATCCTTTGTTAGAAACCTATCAATTAGGCATTTAACCGGCAAAAGACAGTCATCTGCAACTTGAAATAATTAACAGCATGCATAACGAGAGTAAGAAACTGACCTTTTATACCGATTATGAACTAGCACAATCAAGTGGCTGATATCTTTGAATAGTGTTCCCTCCCATTCTGCAGTGGTAATGTCCTTGATTGGACGAATATAATCATCATCTTGCCACACAATCTCATTATCACTATCATACTTCTCATCATCATCACCATCCTTCTTGACATTCTTGATAGTGATCTTGTTGAAGAATTGACCCAAACTAAACCCCCATCCATCAGCATCTTCAGGCCAATCAGGATCCTCTTCATCCACAACAAGTGGATAATCGGCCAAGAGTTTTTCCATCTTCGCCTTCTTCTCTTCAGCATCAACCTCTTGCTCTTTATCAGAATGTTTGGCTAGAACTTCTCTAATGTTCTTCCTCCATTCACGTCTCTCTTCAGGATTCATAGCATACCTTATCTCTTCTGGCCGAATCATGATTATCCTCGCCGTCACTATCACTGCATTCTACACCTTTCCTTTGCTTTCTATCATCTGAATTAAGGATTTCAACTGGCTAAGAAGCTCTTACTCTATCAGTCTTGTTACCGCTACAGATAAAAAATCCAAAATTCATTTATCAGCTTATATGATAGGAAGAAGACTACCCATCTGTAAAAGCTACGAACTTCAACAAGTAGAGAGTCCAGAGACAGCGAATCAAAGAAATGGCGGAAGAAAATACAATGAGAAGCATAATCTTTCTCCTCCATTACATCACTTTGTTTCTGAAAAAGGTGGGAACTTTATCAGGACAGGGGAACAGAGAAATGGCGGGAAAAGGGGAAAATAAGGAAGGAGAACGGATTACCGTTTGGTTATGGTGGCTGCCTTTTTCTCTGGTTGTTTCCTCCTTTGGCTTCCTTCACTTCAGTTCGCAAAACCCTCTAGGTCGCTTAAACCCTCTCTGTGGTTATGGGAATGGGATGGGACATGGGGAAAAACTGAAAAAGATGAGTTTAGAGGAACTCAAGTTGAAACTTGAAAGTGGGGGAAAATTATCATTTCAATCACCCGAATTCATATGATATCCTCATCTCTCCTTGAAGTTTTGTGTTGATTCTTTACATGAATTGCTCATGGTCTCATAATCATTGAGTGTGTACTTGGTAGCTAAAATCAAATCATGAGCTTGGATAGCGAGGTCTCTACTCTCTAGTATTAGTTTGAGTTTGAAGATGCAATTGTTTAGTAGTATCTTCATTACTTTTGCGGCCTCTCTTGACTCGTCGAAAATTATGGTCTGTAAAAGGGAAATAAATACTCCAAAGAAAAAGAGACATTCAGGACAGCGTAAACAAAATTCCACTATGCTGCAAGTCTAGTAGGAATAGGCTTCCATCATTAAGAGAATTACACTAAAACTACACGAAGCCCTAAAACTTAATTTTTTTCAATGAAGGATACTCAAACTACTGTGGCTAGTGCCTAATGCTCTATTCTGCAACAAAACCATAGGCGATCTAGCTAGGGATGTTCTGAGATTCCATCTTCTTGGTCTTCGCACACTGCCGACGACAATGATGGAAGCAGCCATGATAAGAACCCCAGGTCAGTGCCTCCATTGAATCTCTGAGATGAGTATTCCACCACCATATTCCAAAGCTCTTCCACGACCCATTCATGTGATGCAATCCACTCAACCACCTGCAAAGATGATGCCACAAACATCACATGATAATCAGGGGAATTCCTTAGGAGTTAGGAATAAGTCCAAAAAAAAACTAAATGCAAGTGATAAACGTTTGAGATCTAATTAATTAACAGGCTAACGAAGTGCACAAAATACCTTATCCAAGTTCTGCAATGCTTCAATTCCAAATGTATAGTACAAAATGGATGGTCTTGCTGCCTGGAAAGAACAGAATGCGATGAGATATACATGGATGACAAAATAATCATACAATAAGCAAAAGATCATCCAAACACTCTGTAATTGGAGTGCCGATTTTCAAAGATCTAGCAACTAGAGACTGCCATATGCACGAATGACATGCAAATAGAACAGAAAGGCTACTCTAGCAGTTGTAATAATGAATCACCTGAGAAGCTGCTAGCCACTGAATCATAGCTTTTAGTTCAGGATCTCCTCCAAACGCTCCACAGCCCCAATTACCAGTTGCAATTCCAACTGTCTCTTCATCATCTAGACGGAAGCTTCCCTTCCGGTCGGGATTTTCTACCACTTGACTCCTACAGTCTGCATCAATCATTTCAACATCCGTTGAACTGGAGGGAAGTTCATCTGACTAAAAACATGTGGTAAGGTACTCGGATAAGATTCACCGGAGACAAAAAGTAACAAGAAAAGCAAAACACTGATAAGAATCTCACACCTGAAGCATATTCCTGGAAATACCGTTGGAGTCTGTGTTTTTCCGTTCACAGTGAGCTCCCTCAACTACACATTTAGATTGAACAAAGAAACCACAGAATGCCTTATTGGTTTCCCTGCCACAGTAAAACCGATTTGAAATTAGTTGAACACAAACCACTGCAGTAAACAATCAAAAAAATTGAAGACCTCATATTCATTGTGCGATTGAATGAACATTTCACTGGGAATTTTCAAATCTCATACCGGAGGAGGTAGTTGAGTTTGTACTGTCTTGTCCTTGGGTTACATAATGCATCTATAGCAACTATCCTTGTTTTACGCCTCCTGAAGCTATCGAAACCTTTTTGGTCAATATGGTCCCCACTGAAACGAAATGAAGACGCATACCTAAACACCAAAGGGTCCACCTCTATAAGATATCAATGAAGCCGTCTGACAGAAGCACAAGATCGCTATGACCATAAAATGCTTAAAATGTAAGTTCGCAAATATTCATACTCACCCAGTATAATTTGAGAATCTTTCAGCACCAACAATTTCAATGGCCTCGTTATCATCCATGCACGGTAAGAAAAGCATGCCAACAATTAATTCAGGATTGATCATGAAACGGATCTCTTCCTATGCACACAGATAACAGCAGGGAAAATATGATCAGAGTCTAAGAATCTTCGACTGTTACCAGCACCTCAACCAAAAGTACATACCTGCACGCACCCCCTGTGAAGAGCGCCACCTCCAAGATACTTGTTTGCAAAATCCACTTCAAGAGCTCCATCAGATTGATCTTCTATAAGGCCTTCTCGGCGAACCTAATAGAGTTTAATAAACTAGAAAGTGAGTAACTTGTCAAGACGCAGTAATTAATTACAGGAAACAAAATCAGATCAGTAACTGGATGACAAACTTTAGCTAAATCAGTGAGATTCTGATAAGCCAACCTGTCAAGTTATCAATATTACCTCAAAAGGGCAGAGGCGGGTGACAGATTTGCCCCAGAAATCAGCCTCTGGGTAAGAAACATGTTTAATAACTTGTTCCAAACAGAGAACTTTCCTCTCAAACGATACAACGCCGACAGGTCTAACAGAGCATATCCTTTCAAAATAGTGTATTATGCATTTTATCTTGCTTTCTTGGCTCTCCTTGTAACTGCTATACAGACTCCTGAGAAGTCAAAACAAAACAAAAATGGATTCACTTTTTGAAATAAAACCATAATGCATATCATAAACCAAACTTCCACACGTTGCATTCATGAATCAGTAGCCTTCTGTATTTTAAGTGAAACAATGAAGAGACTTGTATACGAAGGACTAGGTAGTGAAGTTGGGACAGAACCCATAGAACATAAAATAATATATATGGTAATCAAAAGTAACCAACACTGAAAGATAATACATGATAAAGTATCATATTGCTAGATCTTTTAGACCACTTCTGATGGCATCTCAAAACGATGTATTTGGTTCTAGAAACAAGTAGCAAAGGAAAATTATAATCAAGTGATTAGAGAGCATACAAAATGCAAAGAAAAATTCATGACTACAAGTTTACATGCTACTTCATAGTCCTTACAGAACTGGGACGGTGACTGGAGGATTGTCCTATTTTCTTATATCTTTTTGTTGTGTTTTACCCTTCCATGAGAAAGAATTTTCCTCCTCCAAAAGAAACATATGCTTTGAAAGCACATAGAAGAAGTTGAAGATTCACGTACGAAAATAAAAGATCAAAATTAATCGTTGGGAGATCATTTGCTCCTCTATGATCAGCTGGAAACAAACAAAAGAGAGCACATGCTAAGAGAGCCCCAATCAGTTCCTGGAAAAAATAACCACTGAATATCAAAAGCAGCATAAAAAATGCCAAAGTTACATAACAAAATATGTGAAAGGTGAGCCATATATAGGCATAACTGTAATAATACCTGGCTGAGGAATACCATGCCAGCTTCTTGGGGACCCAACAATCTGAGACCAGTTTTAACATGAAATTGAGCCCTACAAATCAGGTCATCTGCATTCTGGTAGTGGGACTCTAACAGAGAGGGCAATTCCAGGAGCAAATTTGCCAAAGATGGAAGAACTTCTTCAAACCATTTTCTTGCCTCTACACGGGAGATCAGCTGGACAAAAACCATCTTCTTTCAGTTTCATACACTATAAAACCAGAAACTTATGCTCTGAGAGGGATTTAGTCCTCTGAAAGCAAAGCAATCAAAGGAATGAAAATCCCTATAATATTATGATTTTACGTTTTCAGATTAACCATCTCACTACAACATTACTGAACAATCATATGTAAACATTGGTACACAAAAGGAACAAACAAATGGAAGACTGGAAATTTTAAAATTGTCAAGGCCTAAATTTACCAAACAAGTGGCTTTAGAGGACTAGTATGTAACATCATCAACCAACTCAGCAGAACGAAACAATCTCAGACAGAAAAGCAAAAGCGGGAGAAAATACTTCACCTCATCAAAGAAGAGGACAAAACCTTCTGGAGTGTAGCGTGCAAGCGTTAGAGAAGAAAGCTTCAGGGAGCTTCTTATATCAGAAATGCAATCGAAAAGTGATTCTCCAGAGGTAACATTGCTGATGTTGGGTCCTTTGGAGAGTGATTTAATTGCTTCAACAGTGTGGGAAGGCCAGAACAGACTTGAAGACCGCATTACGACCGGCAAGAATGGCAGAATGGAATTCATATCTTCTCGGTGTTCCATTGTTCGAGAAGAACTAGCGATACAACCCATGCACAGGTTCAGAATTCATTTCAAAATAGCATAATCCAGCAATCTATCAAAGGGCACAAGGGAACCTGATCAATTCAGCATTCGTTTTTATCAAACTAAGGAAACTCCAGTTGAAAGACATGCATCTAAAGTATATAACTTCTTTCTGGGGTTACCTAAAACATACATACTTTCACCCCCAAAGAGTCAAGATCACTGTTAATGCATTATCATCTACGATTCTACTACATACAAATAGTTCAGTCTCAAATTCAAACACTTTAGGAGGAACCCGAAACTTCCAGCACGAAATTAAAGCGACCCGGATACGAAAAATCAAAGAATTGGGGAGTTCGACTGATTAATTCATCCATCCTTCGCTATAAAATGAACACTTTGACTTGGACGGAAGTTCGAGGGAAAGAAAAGTACGGCCAAAGGAGTAGATGGTGAGAAAAGAGATGTTCATACCTCCACATCGACGCTACAATGAGCAGAGATGGCGGCTCGTTCTTCTTTCTTCACTTCGTTTCAAAGTCTTGCTTCTTCGCGGGTACTGAGCAAGTTTTCCCTTTCCCGGAAAAATTCCACGAACGGGAAAGGAAAATTGGAATGAACGGAACCTGGTCGGACGAACATTCTTATTTCTTGGAGTGGCGTGCGTGACTAACTAAGTGGGCCAAATTGCTGCTCGAACTGCGGGGTTGGGCTCAGAAAATGAGTGCATTCAGTATTGGGCCTTGTTAATATTTCCGTTGATACTGGGCCTGACTAACTAAGTGGATATAAAGGCTTCTGATTAGTGTAGGGCTGTCTTGGGCAAGTCTACGACTCTACGGCATACGGTAGTTTATATATATATAGAGGATACACCAAACTCAAAGTTATATTCTAATTATCAATTTCAAATTTGATCTTCAAAATTTGGCTTGTATGGTCTATTTCTACTCATAAAATTTTCCTTATAGTAATTATTAAAATTTTGTTTATTGTATCAAATAATTTTTACAAATACTAAATATATAAACAAATCGCAAAATGATTTTCTCATACCTTCTCATGGTTTCTTGTCAATTGTTATTAAAATTTTATAACCTGAAAATTTTCAGGAGAATGAGATCATTAAAAATAACGCTCTTGAGATTTTATGTATTTGATACAACAAAAAATGTTAATGTACCCTAAACTCGTTGGTATTTAGCATAACTCTAATGCATAATTTTGAGCTCTGTGTGTAGTTTTTTCTTGTTCTATTTCTAAAGAGAGAAACTCATCATAGATGCATATCCTGGCTCGCATGGATAGCGGACAAACCCATAAAATAGCGAAAACGAGAACTCGACTTTGCTGGGTTTTCTCCTGTTTGGGTTGTACTTGTAGACAATGGTATCCAAAAATCAAATTCAGGCTATGTAAACGTAAGACTTCATTTATCTAAAGTAAAGCTTACCTTTCATAGCAACTAGACACCATTAAAATTACAACACAAACTTGGATAGAACCTCATACCACCTTGGACAAATTAACAATTCATGCATTTGGACAACCATATGAAAAAATCATTATGACCATGAATTCATGATGATAAACTATATTATTATTGTCTTTGAGTTGTAGTTGGAAGATTATGCCAAGTCCCCAACCAGTTTTTTTTAGAGGCAATAAGGGAAGAAGATGTATGTCACTATGCCATATGCCAAAAGCATGGAGCTTTCCTTGGTGCACCTAGTTTTGGTGTTGTGGGACAAACACAAGTTCTAGATTGAAAGGGATACCTCTTTTTTTTTTCCTTCTTTTTGGGTAGTCAAGAAGAATCTTCAATTAGATAGATTGCAACATTGTATATTATAATTGATCAAAGTTTTTTATAGACCCATTAAGTTAATTATATCATAGATAAAGATAGCATCAATTTGTATATGAATATGAATATATGATGAATGCATAGTGACACCAACATATAAAAACAGAAAAATAAGAAGTTTGGTGGCATTGACATGAGAGGAGCACAAAAGAGAGAGACCCACTTGCCCCCATTACATGAGGTGGGCAATACAATGGGATTGAAGTGGGTTACCAACCTTAAAAAGAGATTGTTTTGCATTTGTTCTTTTATAGTTTGTTCTAGAAGGTAGATATTGCCAAAGAAAAACCAAACACTGTCTTTTGCTTACATTTCATATTAATTTCTTGCTTTACTAAACCTAAAAAAATTCATTTGATATTTTCTACCTTATCGTCAAATTTTAATTGTTAATGCTGGTTTAATATGATGATATAACATAAAACTAGAATTTGCTCATGCATTACCCTATATCCTGAGCCTTCAATTCTGAACCCTAAACCTTTACTACAAACCCAGATACAAGTAAATCAAATCCTAAACGATTTCTTGCAAATTCATTCATTTAATTTGTTTTTCTTCATTGTATTACAATTAGAGTTAAGATCATTTTATTCCTTAACGGTTTGCTCAAAATAATAATTATGAATCGAGTGCTTAATTGAGTGCACTGACGAAAAATATTTTAATTATATAAATTTATTGTTACTGCTTTCTCTTTTCTATCAGGAGTCAGTCGGTTCATTATAATACATAATTCGAGATTACTCAATTTCATTATATGCCCCTCAAATAACAATATGTATTAATTACTAAAACTCTCAAAGCACAACTAGTCAAATCAGTTACAAATTTACAATCTTAATCGATACTTCGACAATCGTTTTATCCGAAACTCAAACCACATTCGAACAAAACCGATTCACTTCATTTGATCCCCCACCCTTTAAAATTACACGAATGGTATCATATTCTTGACAAATCCTTCTAAGGCTCTCCTTGTAAAATAAAAGAAAAAAACATATTCCTTCTTATCTTCCTTACCGTTCAAACAAAGGGCGCCTGCACTTTCCTTTAATATGATAAATCCGGCGCCTGTTGTTTATGGAAAAACCATATATATATATCTATATCTATATATAGTTGCTGGCTGGTTTTTGTTAGTTGTGGCCGGCCATGTGTGACATATGTGTGTGGAAAATCAAGCAGAAAGAGCAATGCATGAATTGTGTTGCAAAATGGGTTCGGTTGGCGCGATGGCGAAAACGACGTTCACCTATTTTACACTTAGGAATCGCAACCACTACCCACAAGAAAGTCGTCCAAGTCCCACGTATACATAAGAGTAAATTATAATCTTTCATCTAACACTAGTTAATCAAGATCTTCGTTTGAAGTCAATATTCTTGTGTGTGTGGTGAGACTGAGAAAGAAATTTATGATCAATTCAGTTAACAGCGTAGATTTTAACGTGAAATTGTTTTGGTGATTTAGAAGCGTAAAATTGTAAGTTTTTTTTAAGCGAAGATTGAATACACTTGTAAGGGGAAAACGCGATTCTACATGTATAGGAGCGTTTTGGTAACCTGAAAGTGTAAAAGCGTAAGCTTTTAAGATTTAAAGCGTTGTTTTAACTGCACTGGTTGTGATGAATCTTTCCATACATGGTGCATATTTGTTGGGATCAATATGTATGTAAGGAATGGTGTATAAGATACGGGGTTTTTTTTTTTATATGTACTAGTAATTTGAGTTATTGAAGAAAAAATAGTCTTGACATGTTATCAGAGCATGTATTTGATAATCGATCAACATGTAAAGAATGAAGTATAAGATTGGGAAAATGGGTCTTGACATGTTATTTGAGTACGTATTTGGATAATTGAACGATAGTATGTTGATACATGCACGAATTTTGAAGGATCCATTAATAGAAATATGTTGATACATGCACGAATTTTGAAGGATACATTAATAGAAATTATATAAGATAAAAACATAATTTGGTAGGAAACCGAGTCATGAAGAATAACTAAATGGATTATGGAAGATAAGTTCCAAAAGATTAATTATTAACCTCCCTTTAAAATGTTTTTTCTCTCTTGAAATTGAGAAGAGTGAGTGGAGTAAGTTGAAGGGTGGGTATGATCTTCTAGAAAACTATAACCCAAATTAGACCCTCCTTTTGTCCCTTTGCTAGTTTTCTTGACCAAAATTGTATTGAAAATGAAAGGGTGGTCAGCAAGGAAGACCATGGCAAAGGTTGGGCCAACAGATCATAAAACAGAGAGTTGGAGGTTGGAATTTGTCCATAATTTGACTTCTTCTAATAAGAACAAATGAAAATGGAAAGAAATTTGACGTCACATTTTTTTTTGTTTTTTGTTTTTGAATCAACTAACCTAAATCTGTTCAACCAAATTCAATCTCTTTTGACGTTTTTCTGACTGAATATCAATTAACCTCCGTCAATGTTCGACAAACTCATGAAAGTGGACTTACAATTCGAGCGTTCAATCTCGTTGGTGAGTCAAGGTATTCATATTTTTTTTCTTCAAAATTTCAGGAAGTGAATCTACATGTTATTGCAACCCTATCAGGCATGACGTATTGCTCCCACAATTTACCGTCATAGTCATTGAATATTTCGTATGGTTTACGAGTTTGATCTCACGTTCCGTTTCAAGTGTTAGATACAGTTGCACAGTCATGCTTTTGTTGTACATATATTGACTACTTTTTTCTTTACGAATTTATTGCCGATTAGAATTTATAAGACCACTGAGAATCGAATTTACTTGACGATGTCTCACGAATTGAGAAAATTGAAAAGCATAAGTAGTTTGAAAAAGGAAAATGTTTGGGAAGAGCAAAAAAATCAAAACGAGTCAAACCATACACACAAATATTCCAAAGTTGGAATGAAGAGGAAATGCAAAGAACAAAACAAAATCAAAGAGAAGAAGAGATGATTTTTGGGAGAGGGAATTGTGGAAAAGGGTGAGACAGGTGGAGAAGAAAGTGCGGCAAATTCATGAAGACCTATTCTCTCTTTTTCTCTCTACCCTCTCTACCTACCAAATTCAGCACTAAGAACCCCAACTTGAATTTAGACCACTCGACTTCTCCTTTCTCACCAAATCGGTCAAAATACCCACTTCCCAAAAGAGATGTTCCTTTTCTGCACTTCCTCTCCTTAGATCACATGAAATAAATAGTTAACTAACTAATATAATGGGGCAAATTACATTAAGGACCAACAAAACTTTATGGTCTAACAAATCAATCACTCAGAATTTTCATTGTGATAATTTGCCATTGAAGTTTGAGATAACTCATCATATACAACTTTCTAATAAGCTTCGAAGGAAGGGGATGCAGTGATTAGGGTGCATGGTCTCAAATATGTGGGGCGAAAAATAGTTTCAATTATAAAGTTTGATTTGGATTAGGCATATGAACTTAAAAATCGTCCACTCGTAGTATATATATATATCACTATCATTTTAGGCAACCCGAAGTACTAATTTGGAGAATAACATTGACAACAAATGTAAAGATGATGGATGGTTTGACTACTATACAAGCTAGTTATATTAAACGTCAACGATGTGTTTATCGATAAGATCATCAAAATCATTGTTAACCGATTTGTTATTAACCAAAAATTAAAGTTAACTCACCACTTATGCAATTGACAATTTGACACCTTAAAAATAACATAGTGAACTTTAACTTGGGGGAAAAGTTAAAGACTCAAAAGAGAGGCCAAAGGGCTCTTGTAAATTATTTGTCCCAAGTCAAATGGGAGCATCTCATCCATCTATATTCTCTCTTTGTCACCACCCACCTATCACCCCAATTTATATATTCCCTCTAATAGTGTCCAAACTCCAAACCAACCACCTAACAATTTTGTACTACAAAACATTTATTCCTCCCACCCTCCCCAAATTCCTCCATATCCACATACATATATGTTTGTTACACCACCAACACAAAGAACAACAACAAATTTCCTTTCTATTTCTTGCTATCTCTCTCTCTCTCTCTCTCTTCTTATCTTCTTCTACTTCTTCTCCTTCTTCTTTGTTGTCCAAATTAAGACTTCGAGATAGTAGTAATAGGGTGATGGGTAGATCTCCTTGTTGCGAGAAAGAGCACACCAACAAAGGAGCATGGACCAAAGAGGAAGACCAACGCCTCATCAACCACATCAAGCTCCATGGTGAAGGCTGTTGGAGGTCTCTTCCCAAGGCTGCTGGTATATATACTTAATTTTTTTCTTCTTCTTCTTCTTATACTTCCCAAGCCTGAAAGCCAATTTTGTACCGATGATTAATAATTTTATTGAGAGATGCAGTCTCAGTTATCGTTTCAGCAAATTTTGTAGATTAGTAACGAGATTTGTGGATTGTTGGATACAGGTTTGTTACGATGTGGGAAGAGTTGTCGGCTGAGATGGATAAACTATTTAAGACCCGATCTCAAGAGAGGAAACTTCAGTGAACAAGAAGACGAGCTTATTATCAACCTCCACAGCTTGCTTGGGAACAAGTATGGTGCTAACTAATCATTTAATTGTAAATTAATTTCATTTAATTTATCAATGGTAATTTCTTTGGTCGTCATTCTTGTATTTATCATAAGTGAATCAAATTTTAAAATTGAAAAAAAAAACACTAAACCATAAGCTATTTATATATACTAGCCAAGTACAAAGAGTTAGGACAGAACCTATAGCTAAGCATTGAGTTTGTTGTACTTTCATTTAATGAACATTAACTTTTGTTGTACTTGTTCATGTACATCCATTTTCACCTAAAAATGAAATTATTCACATTAGTTTATTTTTTCAAGGTATGCACATCAATTTTATTTTTTTCACATGGAAGTAAAAAATTTACTTCCATTAATATCCAACTCGAATTTGATTAGTTCTGAATTGTAAATTTTCAACTAATCACAAGTATGTTGTTGTTTTCTTTTTTAAGGTGGTCACTAATAGCGGCAAGATTACCAGGGAGAACAGATAACGAGATAAAGAACTACTGGAACACCCACATCAAAAGAAAGCTCTATAGCCGTGGAATTGACCCTGTTACTCATCGTCCCGTCACCGGGACCACCACCATCACAACCACCGTGGGGCCTACCACAACAAGACGTACCGCCAATACCAACACCAACAACAACAGAAAACAAGCTTCCACCGTCGTCCAGACGAGCAATCTCTTTTACGGCAATACAAATTGCTTCCAGTTGTTGGAACCAATAGTGACGAAACAAAGTCCGTCACAAGAATTTACAATGATGATTGGCCACAATACTGATTCAGGCAATACCGACAACAGTAGCAACAGCGACAACACTGGAGTTACGACGGAGGAAGCGATGAATGTTGCAGCCGATGAAGAGATCAATTTGGATCTCTCCATCGGCCTTCCGATGTCATCATCATCATCATCATCTTCATGGCCAGATTTGTTGCCAAAGACTGGGAGAGCATGTTTGTGTTACAAGGATGTTCTAGGGTTTCGTGGTAGTAGAGGTAGTACCAATAGTAGCACCAACACTAATAAGTTATGTGGGTGTGGATTAGAGACGGCCGCCACGGAAGATCTAAGGGTTGTGCCGAAGTTAGCATTAGCGACGGCTAGTAGTGTTTTTAGATTTTATAACGACGCTTAGTTATCATTTCTTCTATATTTTTTTTCTTCTTCTGGTTTTCTTTCGCATATACACGGGAACTTTCATCGGCTTTGGAAAAACCTACGAAATAGGAAAAACACGCCGGAGTATATTATGTTGTAAATATTTATAAGGCCACTTTGTGAGGGGTCGAGCTTCTATGTATTGTTAAAAATGAGATGAATTGTGCCCGTCATAATATTACTGATTTTGAAAGTGTAAGTCACATATTCGAATTACTTAAATAACACCTAAAGAGATTAAGAATGAATGGTTATGGCATATCAGATATATATTAGAAACATGACCCCTTTATATGTGTTCACAAATCTGTATTAGTATATGATGGCTTTTGAGAATGAACCCAAAAGTAAATTCGTGTGAGTTTGATCATATATGAATAATATCATACTAATGGAGCATTCGGTCTCTCAACAAGCGGTATCATAGTCTGATTATGATTATGGGAAGTGGATTTCAGTTTGGTAGACCTTCATTTTCTGTGAATTCTGGATTTGAGATCAACGTATTGTGAATCTAATGGAGATATATGTCTGTCTGGCAGATCAAATGAGATTCACATATGGTTATTCCTTGTGTCGAGAAGTCGTGATGATACAAAGGTGGTTTGGACGGATGAAGATAGTCGTTGAGGGCAGGACACACAGGCGCATATCTCCGTTAGACCCACCAGTTACACATCTAAAACACTTTAGGTCATAGAATGAGGGTTCACCAAACAAAAGCCCCCCCCCCCCCCCCCCCCCCACCCACACACACACACAAATCAGAATAAGAATCTGATACCACTTGTTAAGATCGTATCTCCATTGGTATGAGTTTTTATTTATAAGAGTGATATACATATTTTTTATAGTGATGTGTTACTTACATGATTTGATCTTGTGATTTTCAGGTCAAGACCGATATTAATATCACTCGATCAAATTCTTGTTCGCTTTATGCACTATGAGTTTTATTTTTCTTCTACAACAGCTAATAACCCCAGTACCAGTGTTACGTATTGATGAACCGACGACCGTAACTGAATAGACAACCTTTTGTAAGGATGACACACTCTACATATGATTATGCGCCTGCTAAACCTAACCACATAAGGCAATTCTCATGCATATTGCCACATACAAGTATATGGCCACCAAACTACATATTCTAAACACTTGACTTTCCATTGAAGGAACTCACATTTAAAAGTTGGGGGATAATTAGATTGCATACCAATAATATATAAAGGTATAGTATAGTAAGTAGTTAAATAAATCGGTTGGTAGGAAATCAAACAAACCGGCCGACGGCAAAATTGAAGGGCGACAAATGCACATAGGAGTGGGTATAGGAAGGATATAAAACGGTGATGACATGCGGCGTATTGTTGAAGGGAAGGTGGTCGTTAATTATATGATAATAATTATTAATGTGCATATCATATTTTTGGAGGGGCATGTACTCTGAATAATTTAGGGTTCTTCTAAGAAAAAAACAAGAAGAAGTGAATCAATGGATGAGATTGAATAGCGATACATCGATTAGTGATCGCTAGATTTGTTCAAAGTTAAGAAGAATGGAAGTCGCCTCGATCGGTTCAGTTGTTCTAGAAGTTATTGACTCGAGTTATTGAGATTGTTAGTTTAACGACGAATCGTCTTTTCTATCATTAAGCAAAACATATGCCGACTAAAATTGTACAAAATTCGAACACATAAGTTGACTTTTATTTTAAGAAAATACATTATAAAAAAAAGGTTAAAAGATATACATATTTGGGCCTTTCACCGACCCTAGTAGGCACAACTCGAAATACGAGGATGATGAACTCAAAAAATTCTTGACACTATATATATTGTGGGCATATATAAGTCGAGTAGTAAAATTAGAAGTCGTTAGATCATGCAAATACGAAACGATAGTACTACGTACACATGTGATCGATATCGCTAGCTAGACTAGAAGCATGTTGTTATGTCCATGCTGTTATCATCGTTACAAATTCCTTTAGAGAAGATTGATTACGTGGACACTGTCACAGATATGAAAAATGCCAAAAAAAAAAAAAAGTCAGATTTTTTAATGAGGTAGAGGTGATAATGGAAGGAGATTAGGTTTGGATCGACGTCATGTTATGATTCCTCTTCTAAAAGAAAGAAGTTGGAGGAGAAGGAAAAGAGAATGTGAAAGCGAAAGATCAAAGGATATATATATATATATATATATTATCGATTCCACCAAATGCTTCACCTAACCCTGCTTTTGGTCGTGCCTTCTCTTCCCTCAATTTTACTTTCTGGAAAATGGATCTTCTCTCATTTTCATACTATAATTTTCATATCCTCACCAATCTACCCCCCAAAACATACAAAAAAACAAATTTAAGGGCAGATGAAGAGTTGCCTATACTGCAATATGTGGGCATTCAAGGATCAAGCCACATATTACACAAGCCTCAAAAAATGCTCTAATCAACTGTAGGATCGATGTTCAATCATCCAACGTCCAACACCAGAACTACGAGACCGCCGCGAATGATCATAATACGATTAATAGTATATCAATAGTTCAGTTTCTTTCAGCCCTGATCTACACAGATAGAAACACCATGGCCATGGGAAACCCAAAAAGACAGCATTATCATCATGATGACTGCTATCATCCTAGGCTGGGACCAGATCCACCGCCACCATTGTTGCCTGAGCTCCTAGTCGGACGACAGACGTGATTCCTTCTACGAGCATGTTCTTGGTTATGGTGCTGTGTCCGGCACTCGTAGCCGTACCAGCAATCAGACCGGTTAACTGCATCCGGTGGTAGATGCTATGCACGCCAATGAAGAACGGAAAATTGTGAGATTTTTTAGATTGAAAACACAGAGCATGGTAAATAAGAGTTGCAAATTCCATGAGGCAGAGGAAATCCCTGGAAAGATATGTAGATCAAAAACAAAAGAGGCTTACATGTTTCGGAGTGGCAATGCGGAACCAGTACAAGAGAAATGAAACCAACTTATCGTAACACTCACTGCATCAAAGGTCAAACAAATTAAACAAAAAACATGATGAAGGGCAAGCTTATTTAGTAGACCACGAAGTAGCCCAATCAGAAGCCTGCTACCAAATGCACCCAATCTCTTGCTCTTGAGACTAATTACGAAGCTCTCTCTCTATATATATAACAGCAAGGGATAAATAAGATAGAATCTCCAGAACCCACTAAACTACCTAGTAATTTTATCGATTTATATATGTCATCAGGAAATGATGTCTGATCAAATTTCCCAGTGGAAGATATTAGACGATTCATGCAGGATAGCACCATCATTAGCATCCCAAAGAATACTGTGTTTTCAAACTTAGCAGTGTAAGAAAAGAACAACTTACCCGCATACGTGTGTACTTGACGAAATAGTGTCTGCATGCTTTAGTTGCAGCCTTGATCGATCTATAAAAAAATCCAAAGTTGCTGCTCAGTTCAGAGTAACTTGAATAATCAGGCACAGATCCAACTATCCAGGCCATAGATTCTTAGTTCGTGTACTAACTAATCTGTTAGCTTTTGCTTAAGTTATAAACAGCGCATAATTGTGGCTTCTTCCTGGACTCTAGTTTGCCTGGGAAAAAAATAAACAACCTCACAGGTTCCTCCTCAAAGAACATAAACCTAACGCATGTTGGCAAGTCCTGAAGTTCTAAGATTTCAGTTTTAAATTAAAAAACAATCCTGCAAACTGTTAAAGGATTCATTGAGAAACCCCAGAGCCAAACTTAACATCAAACATGAGCAGTTTTCCACCATTAGCAGGTTCGGGGGAAAAATTCAAAATGGACAAACGCATCGATGGACATTACCAATTTCTCCGTTGTCCAACTTCACCATCCATTCTGAGACAACATCAGTTAGTGTTCTCCCCATCTGTCTAATACACCTATCCGTAACCTACAAATAATGTGCTCACCTATCAGGAATTTAACTTTGACGAGCAACAGTAATATAAAAACCAGCTGGAAGGAAATACATACATCCTTCTCAACTTGATTAGTTTCATGAGCCAAATGTGGAATTATTGAGATGGACCGATCTGAAATCTGCAAAAGATAAAAACAGATAAAATTATGACGAGCATTTTGAAAGGCCACGAAATGCAACAAGATTATCCAACTTGAATAATCAATTGTGAAAAACATAACAATTAGTTTGTCAACTATATTCAGCCAGTTTACTATATTCTAGCAAATAAAAAGTAAACATGGCAAATACCGCAAACCGACACAGAAGCAACGGTCTTAGTCATCTGAAAAGTCATAATTCCCAGATCAGACACCAAAGTTTTAGAAGGATAACAAATACCGGTTTGAAACTATCTAAGCTGCATGGAAAACGTAGGAGATTTCCCTGAGCAGGCCAGTAAGCACCACAAAAAGGTCTGTCACATCCTAGACCTGTAATAAAAGGAAGAAGCAATAAAATCAGTTCACAGCCAAATGTCTGCCATTTAAGCAGATGAGATACCACTCGAGTCAAAGTTAGTTACTTTAAGGAGAACCAAGATAATCAAACATGATGACATAATGGGTTTTCTAGTTCAGAACTGCATATGCAGTGGAATCATTCTCCTTGAAACAAACCAGAGAAGGAAGCAACAGGCAAGTAGAAATCCAAAGGCATCTTGAGATTGTTTGACATAGTTTTCAAAAGGCCATCATTACATGAAAAGAATAAAAAGCAAAAGCTAAGAAACCCTTCACATACAGAGTTGAGGTGCATCAGAATTGACTCTCAGAGGCATTTCACGACCACAAGCATGACATTCTAAGTGGACTGTATCCTCATTGCAGCGGAATCCATTATACTCTGTGCCTGATGATTGTAGAAAATAGAGCAAACACAAGAAGTTTATTACATAAGAAATCATGAAGACAAGAAATGTCGATTCACAAGCCCACGCAGTCTGACTCGAAGAAGACTGAATAAACTTCGTAGTTGACTAATCCTGACCAAACAGGTACTTAAATTATCACGTCAAACAATCTTTTTTTTGTGGTAAACTACCTATAACATTGAAAATAAAAATGGATGAGTGATGAATCTTACCACATTGCAAGCATTGAAGAGGAGCAACACCAAATCTTTCCAAGAACTCAGCATAATCCTCATCAGGAACTTCTGATTCCACACGTTGCCTTTTATGCTCATGACTCTTTCCAGTCTCAATAACCTTCAAAATATAAAAACTTGATGAACACCAGCAATACAATGAAGTAAGTATCTTTCCTTTCATCCGTCACGTGGTCTGGGAGGACAAAACGTAGCATTTTTTTATTGGAATTGACTTTTCCCAAAGCTCAATATTCCAGCATGCTACGCATGTGTTTGTGTCACATCCATATATCAAAACCAAAGATCAACTATGTTCTTTATTATTGTATTCGACAGAGAAGGCATATAAATATCCTTTCATCATCTGAACACCAATTGCAGAGGCATTGCACTATGAGAAACCATAATGAGGTAGGCAGAATATTTTTAATGAGGCAACCACCAGAAGGAACATACATCTAGGGTTAGACAACATATTGCTCCAGGTACTAAGGGTCGTTTGGAAGTTGCGATTGTTAAATAGATGTATTGTTGAGAATGCATGTATAATATTATACATGTATTGTTGAATTTGATGCATTGTAGAATACAACGTTTGGTATGTGTGATTGTGTATGTCGCATCAGCTAAAAGCTGAGACAAAACAATCTCAACTCAACAATCTCAACAATCACAACTAAAAGTTGAGATATAACAATCACTCAAAATGAGTGATAGTTTCTGTCACATCACAGAAACAATCCATGTATTGTTTCTGTTAAAAAAACAAAAAAACGATGCATTGTAAACAATACATGCATAATGACAATCTCAACAAAACTATCGCAACTTCCAAACGACCCCATATAATTCCACAAACACTGAAGCAATTTCTTATACAGCCTGCTATAGGTGGTAAAGATACTTACAATGTTTGAGTGAATCATTGCATAGGAGTCGAGCTGAACAATTTCTTCTTCTGACCTCTTTAGAGAAGAATCAGACTGTATTATGTCCTAAAATGGTAAAAGAAATATTGTACAGTAAATTCCACTAGAATTCGAAATCAAAACCACTGATCAGACGTGAAGCCTGCTGTTGATATATTATCCATGACCGATAAAATGTTGAAGATGATAGCAGAAGTTACAAAATAAGCAGACGCTGTTTCTATCTTTGTTTATATTTCCAAGTCCAGGAAAAAATAATGTGCATAAAAAATGCCAGCAAGCAAAAATATGAAACCTCAAATTGACCAAAAAATTCAAGATGAGCAGAGTATATTTTTTTATAAGGAAGATGAGCAGAGTATATTGATTGATGATGCCTAAAAACTGTTCACTAACAATTAAACAAGTAATATGACCACACAAATTATAGCGGAATATTGTTCAGGCATATGCATTCTTATTGCCCCACTCTGCCTATCAAAGTCTTCTGGGAAATTCCAGAAATAGAAAGTTACTTAATGGGAACTGAAAAAAGAAGGAATTATAATCCTAAAAACATCAGCTTCAGAAGACCAAAGATGTTGGAAATGCTACAACTAGGTTGTCATCAAACCAAAATAAATCCCATACTCCGCAAGCTACGAACTTGGGACAATGGTCCCACTAGTCTTTGCAAAACTGAAATATGTTTAAATATATGAAACAAGAACCAAGCAAGAAAAAGAGAACATTTTAACAAATTGAAAGATAGGACAGATGAAACTTGAAAACTAGCAAGGATGAATGCAGTGGGTCGAACTAAATTTCAAAGAAATATCACTACATCGGTTTCAAGGTGTAGTAAGTCGATGATATAAATAATTTCCAGCAGATTATGTGCACGCATAATGTGAAATATGATGCCACCTCTTCTATATTATGTAGAAAGTGATTTTTCCCGACAAATTGCACGACTCCTCTACACTGAGGACACAGCACCGTCAACTGTTTCTTCTGTGATCTCCTTAACCATTCAGAGAAGCATCCATTACTGAAATGTACAGGGGGAAAGAGGCAAGCCAATTTAGTTTCAGTAGTTTAACTCAGTATTACATGAAATGAAACCAATGGGGACTAACTACTGTTAATCGCCCACATGTTGACATCAAATTGAGCTGCACCCATATCCCACAAACAAAAAGAAGGGTGATCTGGCCAGAAGTATCTCAGAGTCAAAAAAGTTGTATGAATCCATCTTGCTCTAATCTTTCTACTCCAACAGGATTGTTTCTGGATACTAAGCATCTATGGTTCAGTTGAATTGCATCCTAAGAAACAAACCTGATTAAAGTGATAACTTTGAATTATTAATCAAAAAGTCAATTACAAATGACAAAAGTTGCCTTCAGCCAATCATCATAATACCATTCAATCACATCAATAGCGGAGGAGGATGCAAAAGACCAAATGTGTAAAATAACTGGTAAGTAAAATTAACTTCGCTACAGTTTGGTTTGAAGAATATTAACTTTAATACAGGTAGCTCAAGGTCCTATCCTTCTATTTAGATCATTGATCCAAACGAGTTCAAAGGCCTCCACTTACTCAGCTATCCAATATACTAACAATCATGTGAATCAAGAAACAATGCCATTTCCTTCACTGAAACTTTCAAGTTAAGAATGAAATCTACACACCAGAAATTATGAAGGCAAGGACCGACGGTGACAACATCATGCCATATGCTTAAACATATGCTGCACTTTGCATGCGCTGCATCTAAGTAGACCTGGAAGAAAAGGAACAACCAAATCAAAACAAAAGGCAAGTTCATCAGAAAATTAGGGGGAAAATGGTCTCAAGGTGGCATCTTTAACATGCCCAGATGACCATCATCAAATTCTTTACCTGCAACTTCGGTTTGCTAGTTCCGGGATCAGCCATTGGTACAAATCAAACCTGTATCACAAAACCCAACAACAGAATGAAACAAGAAAGTTCAGCACACTTCAGTCAGTGGAGCAATGTAACATGTCAAGATCATATGAACTGTCAAGCTTTAGTGACGATCCTAAAATTGGATTTCCTGTCAAACTAATACTACCCCTGGACATGCATTTGGGAAGAAACCGCCCGAATCACCTATACATTATCCTAGCGATCACCGTAATTCGAATTCTGAACCACCAAGAAATAAAAGATAACACCCGACCGGCACCCACATAACCCAAGACTACTGCTTGATCAAATTCCAGGCACATTGGAAGGAACTCAGAGGTAAATGGACTAACAATGGCGACGCAGAACCAAAGATAACTCAAACTTCCACCAAGACATTCACAAATATACCACGAGTCATGGAAGTTTACCCTGTTGCTGCCGCTAACGAAACTGGCGAATCCTCCTCTTCCGGCCGATTAGAAGAAGAAGAAGAAGAAGAAGAAGAAGAAGAGAGTGGACGGTTGATTCGGTGGGGGTTTTCACTTTTTACTTTTATGTGAAGGGGATCGAGTTGGATTGCATGAGAAGGAACTGGTCCAGAGATGCTTTGTCCGTCAGAGGTTGCAAAGTTTAAAACTTTCTAGGGCTTCTGTATTTCCAGCCCAATTGGGGGTTTTGATTTTAGGGGTTAAACAAAAAAATTACATTTGGCCCATGTACGTTTCCAATTTCTTACCTGAAAAGATTTTGAGTATTTCAAATTCTTTGCACTTTAATTGTACCTAGGGGTAAATTTATAAGTTTAACTTAGAACTTAAATACTTTTTAAGAGAAAAAAATGTCATTACAAAAACTTGAACTCGAATTCTTCAGATTGATAGTCAATATCCCTAACTAACAAGACTACAACAATGTTTATGTATTTTTTGGATTAAAGAAAGAAAATACTGAAATATCTCAAAATCATAGGACTATCCACCGCAACCATCAATCATCGAATTAATTAATAACTGTAATTATTTACAAAGTGAATCATCATGATATACCTAGCTTTATGAATCAACTAAGTGAGTTCCTCTAATCATACAATTCTTCACCAAGAATCAAATAGTACATTTTGAGTTTATGTATGTCTTCCAACTTTTACATTTATTAGGGTACTTGACTTTGTAATTTGTAGGAATACAAGGATTGTTTACAAAAGTGCTATACATAATTTTATTTCAAAACATAAAATTTGACATTTGTGATTAATGGTTTTGTAACGAGACATTTTCAATGCTATAAGTTAATGACCAAAAATCATTGGCTAACAATTTCCCTAATGGTTGGCAATTATAAGCATAGAATTGAAAGACTAAATACCATTGACAAATGAGCCAATTATCATTGGCTAAATTTAACAAGCAATGATATGTGTATATACATTGAAAATTCTATGGTACGCTCGATTGAGGGTTATTGCATCTCTTTAGTTAAATAACATTATCTAGACATAGATTAATCACGTAACTAAACCCTATATCATAATTCTCTAAATCCTAATATAGTGCATATGGTATGTTGTATATATCTTGGCAAATCAGAATCATTGATTATGTTATTAGTAAATGTGATATTAGGGTTTAAGTTCTATAGATTTAGGGTATATGATTCAATTATTTGAAACTTAATCACCCTTTTCAAATTTCCTACAATGAGAGGGAAATTAGGAATGACATTTTTGTCTTCACGATTATCTCTATTTTTTTATTTATTTACAGAAAAAGATGGACATATTGAGATTTGAACCATGGTCACTTCAAACAAAGTGAAGGTTTAAAATCAATCAGACTATGTAGATTAGTTGTATTTTTTTAAATTAAAAATATATACGAAGCTAAAATATGAAATCACAGAACTTTTCAACAGTTAGCTAGCCCAATAAATATTCCGGAAGTACTAATTTGATGTTTTGATACTTTGATTTCGATATTTTTTATTTTAATTATAGTTTAATACTTAATTTAAAATTTTATCTATCTTATAAATAGACGATAACCATAAATTTGCAACCAAAATATTGTTGGTTCGAATATTTTATATCGAATTATAGTATTGAATATGTAGAAGCGATATAGAATTCTTAAATTACCATTAATTTCCAGAACTATAGTGAAACAATCATATCTTTGTGCAAACTATAGGGGACAGGTTCTCTAAACATTTTTGTCCGGTTAAATACTAAGTTTTGAAACTCTTTCTAGGGGTGTACGTGGGTCGGTTCGTTTGGGTTAAGATATTTTAATCACCTAACTCATATACCACGATTTTGAAAACACTAAATACAAACTCAGCAAAATAATTCAGAATTTTAACGGTTTGTGTCCTCCATACCAAATGAACCAATTTACATGTCGCTTAACTAAGGACGATCTCATTGTCCAGTCCCATCATTCTAATGTCAATCCATAAAAGTAACCCATATTCGCGTTTGTTAACACATGTTTCACATTGTCATTACTGTGACCGGTAACTTCGCTGCAACTGATTCGGTATTGCTCATCATATGGCCTCCAAACTGATAAACATATCGGGCCAGCAGTTTTATGACAAAACTCAAAGTGAAGACAACTCATCGTCTGGTGGAATTTTGGCGCTTGCTGGTGTCCATTAATCTAATTGCAAGCATAATGATTGCTAAAATTAAGCTTTCACGCAACACACTGGGAGTTGGCGGTATGAACTTGGAGTAAAACTTAATATTGGGTTTGGGAAGGGAAGTGGTGAGAGGAAGAAATTGTGTTTGGATTTGGTAGCAGGTTTCTTTTCGTAAAATGCTTTTATTTATTTTAGTTATAGGTATATATCATGGTTATGTGGGATAAAATGAACAAAAAATGAGCTTGGGGGATGAGAATTCCAACTTAGAAGGAGTGGATTAGATTTTGATAAACTTAAACTCATGATTAACTGAAAGAATATTTAGATTTAGACTTCGTGGTATTGAGATGTTCATAGAGAGTTTAAAACTGATCCAAGGCCATAGATTGATATTGGTTAGTTGATTGTGATTTTGAGGAAGGTGTATAAAAAGTCATGGAAATAGTTTGCAACAAGTGAAGGCAGTGAAGAGGCAGTTGGTTAGGGTAGTGATTGAACCAATGAGTGTATTGGAAGACATAGAAGCAAAATCGGAGCAGTTGAAGAGAGAGGAGTGGTAGATGATCAGGATATTAATGAAAATGTAGAGGGTATTGAAGGGCATGGAAGTGAACTGGATCAGGTGAAAGCAGAGAAGGAGAAGAGCATATTGATGGAATTGAAGATGAGTGTTGGTTTTACGAGCTTATTAAAACTGTCCCGAGGAAGATGAGTTGGCCAAATACAAGAAAGAGAATTGAGGAGTTGGAGATCAAGCTGACAAGAAACTCAATTGAAAGAGAAATTCAGGTTCATGGAGAGAAGGTCTATCAAAGTAGCATAAATGGAGTTGCAGAATTTTGGTTTAAAACATATACGTCGAGAGATTGAAGATGAAGGGGATAAAAAGTTGGTTGTACAATGGAGAGTGGAAACTATTGGATCTTTGGGTGTTTTGGTTGTTGCAACTACCACAACCTATGTTTATGTTAAACGAGTAATCATTGATTTATTTACTAAAGTTTAGGTCAATTCACTATTCAAACTACTGGAAATTGTAGATAAGGAGCGTCTAATTTTGTGCCTTATTACTTTGATCGAGTCTATTATTATATTGGATGTAACTCTAATTTTGTCATTTGCTCTCAAGTTTTGATGGTCTCCTTTTAGTTGAGTTGTTAGCATAAGATTTACTTGAATCAACAACTCTTTATTTCTGTTTTTTTTTTATAAATCCATTTCTTTTTTATTAGTGGCATGTTATTCATAGAGGAAAGCTTTGAACCATTTGTGTGGGATTGTGAGGTTTCATTTCAGTTTCAAACTATCTATGGATCGTGTGGGAATTCCTATGAGCTTTTATATTATATATTTCTGGACAATCTATTAACCAATATCATTTTTATGGGGGCTCAATTATCATTATGAAAATGAGATTAATGATACATTTTTATATTCTTAAATGAGGAGGGTATTTCCCTGAATATTCGACCTATATATATATTCATTCTTTGTGTAGCATCTCGATTGAGTGATTTTCAATAAACTTAAACGAATTAATAGACTTAAACATAACATAAAAATATAAATATTAAAATATGAACATTCCGGCCAACGAGCCGAGTTATAAGCTAGTTTCAACAAAGAGTCATTTTATTTGTCATTACTGTCAAGAACCAGTTGATCCCAATAACTCGAGTCGTTGGGAGAGGTTCAATCGTGGATCATATACCACAACACTAACACGCCCCCTCAAACGAAAGCCACTCGCAAGGGCTTGAAGTTTGCACAGGTCTGAAGACAAGAATACCATGTGCTTAACAAATGGGGGTCACCGGGAATCGAACACAAGACCTCTCGATCACAGAAGGCTCTGATACCATGTCAAGAAACAGTTGATCCCAATAACTCGAGTTGTTAGGAGAGGTTCAATCGTGAATCATATACCACAACACTAACAATTACATTGTTGGAGAAATAAGATCGACAATAACAACCCATTCTATATGAGCATTACGAGCCATGTAATTTGATAAAGCATTATGATGTTTTGGAACAAAATCCACATGAACCCATGGATTACAATGGAGAACGGAGATGATACAAGGTAATGTTTCCTGAGACTTTCATGGCCATAGATTTGAAGTCTAATTTTACGTTAATATCAACATCTAATAGTCATGTGTCGATACATGTAGGACAAGGTTCCTGAGCCACCACCTTAACTGAGTGAAGAGGGCAAGAGGTACTGATGGTTTAATTATCTTGGGCCACGAAAATTAGAAATGACAATGGGACATGTTTGGGGCGAGTATTGTTAAATTCTTGCTCTGCCCTGCCCACTAATTTCTAACCCTCTCTTGTCCGTGTTTCGTCACGGACTCACGGGTTGGAAATTTTTGCCCCATTCTTTGCCCCACATGGAGTAGATAAAATCTAACCTCCTCCACACTTGGATATTAGATGGGAGAATCAACCAGCTGGAACCTGCTCCCATAGCGGATGGCAATTAGCACCGCATATCGTTCATTGACCGAGTCGCTGACACACCATCTTGACTGTTTTTATCTAGGGATGGCAATGGGTCGGGTTGGGTCGGGTTTTGCCAAACCCAAGCCCATGGGTTTATCCGTGAAAAAATCGGGGTAAAATCCACTTGGTTTGAAAAACTCAAACCCAACCCAACCCAACATGCTGGGTATCCGGGGGTTTATGGGTACCCATGGGTTTTTGTCGTAAAAAATTTACAATAACAAGTTCCTATCAAAATAAA